GGCAAATATATCTTTCTAGTTTGCTTCATACTGTGAGGAAGTGACTTAAAAACAGCCATTCACATGCTGGCATTCTAGTTCGGCAGCTTTCTTTAAATATAATCACTGGAATTATGTTATTTCACTTCAGTACAGAATATCTCCTCATATTCCTGGTTATTTTCTGTAATAATCTGAATATTAAACACAAGCTGTCGTACAATTGCAGCTGTAGGCTTCCTTATCTTTCAAACCAAGTCGACGAGGATTACATGCCAACTGGTGATTTGGCATGCTGACTTTAGTGGGTCTTTTGAAATTTCAAGTTGTGGTCTTTTATGATTCGGCTGCAGATCTGATATTTAGAGAAACATATTTTATGATTCCACACACAAAATAGGCCAGCCATTTAAACCCCTTATTTTAGGTCATTGTGACATATGTTCTTTCATTAAAGCATGGAAGACCCTCAATTCAGGGGGATCCATACTGGATGCTCTGGAGAGGGGCTGTGCGCAGTGTCAGTCGGAGCAGTGCGATGGCAGCGTGGGCTATGGCGGCAGTCCTGATGAGAAGGGAGAGACCACTCTTGACGCCATGATTATGAATGGGTGAGCAGTGCATGTCAAAGCCTTCGTGTAGAAGACTGGGGGGTGATCAGAGTATCCCCAGAGGCTGGAGATTCAGTTTGTGGTGGTGCTGAGCTTCGTCTATTTACAACTCAGAGATACGATGGAAGTGGGGGCAGTGGGAGATCTCAGGCGGATTAAGGACGCCATCGGTGTGGCAAGGGCAGTAATGGAGCGAACCAAGCACACCTTGCTGGTTGGAGAATCAGGTAATGCAGCCCCCTGCAGGAGAACCAGGAATCTTTATTTTAACCTCAGTATATTCCAGATCAGTACGCAGATGAGGAAAGTACAAAGCCTTCTTGAATAATATGAATATACACTCAATTTCTGTTTAGAGCAATCTCTTAAGTAACTCAGCTCTGCTGTTTCACAATGTGTCTTAAAAATATGCCGTTTAGGCACCCCAGACTTACGAGAATATCTTCAGGTTTCTCCCTTTTCCTTTTCTTTACATAGCCTCGATTTTTGCCGAAAACATGGGTTTCGCAGCCGAAGACTTAACAACTAATAAGTCACTTGATATGTTCACGAAATGGCTTAATGGAAACTGTCAGCCTAATTATCGTCAGGTGGGTGTTGTGTGTTTTCACCGTTTTATTTTACTTGCTGTAATATATGTGTACCTGTTTTTAAACTCATATGCTGTAAATGAGTTGTAAGCTGTTGTCCTGCTAGTGGGAAGTGCTAACCTAGAGGCCAGCAGAGTAACCGACAGGCTGCGCTGCTTTGTGGGGGCCTCCCGGGTTATATCCAGCTGCTTGTATATGTATATGGAAAGTAAAATACAATCAATAGCATATATTTTGTTTATTTAGCTGACATCTTTATCAAAGGCAACTTAAAAGGAAGTTGGAGCACTAATTGGAAAACAGTGTTAAGGCAGTGGGTCTTAACTCTGGCCAAGTTAAGTCTTTGATCAGGCCTGGTGTGAAGTACAAAGCAAAGAGCAGTGAGCGTTTGACAGGGGGGCAGGGAACACAGAGTCGCAGAGTTCTGTGAATTGGAGTGGGTGTGTGGCTGATGAGGGAACGGGGGCCAGCAGAGAGTTACGGTAGTCAGGCATGGACAGAGCCAAGGCCGAGACTAACGCGAGTGGTGAGAAAAGGTCAGGTTTCTGATTTATTGTAACGTTAGGAGTCTATAACTCAGGACGTGGGGAATTGTGTTGAGGTAGGGTTGTGGAAGAATCAGGGTGACCCTAATGATTTGGAAACAAAGTGATACCTTTTGTAGTGGCTTTCTGATTAATCAACAGCAGTAGCTGTTTGCCTAAAAAAATCCAGGTGATCCTGGATTGAGTAATTTTCAGGAAATTTTGTACTGGGACACAAGAGGAGTCCAGAGAACTGCCCTGCAAGTTGGCAGTTTTTGTGGCTAAATTAGGTAATTTAGATTAGAACCTTCATGGGTTGAAATGCTGCGATGGAGAGCCTTATTTTATATTCTGAAATATATTCTTAATCTTCCCTTTATGAGCCTGACATGCTTTTTTAGTAAGATGTGATTCACCTGTAATCTGAAATTGTAAACCATTAATAGTGTTTTATGTAAGAGGCCATTAAATTGTTTACTTTGGAAAACCTTGAAGACAATTTTTTTAAATGTCAAACACTCACATGTCAGTCCTATATTCTAAGTACAAGATAAAATGACCATATGACCACACCTTTTAACATTTTTGTTCTCTTTTCTCTTAACAGAATGTTTCACCAGATCCTTTGACCTCATGCGGTCCTTACAAACCCAGTGCCGTCTTGCAACAAAGACGGAGCGTCCAACACATTGATATCCATGCACATGACACCATTGGTACTATACTCTGCTTGAATACGTTGTCTTCCTCGTTAACCTGAAACATTTTCTTTTCTGTAAACCAAATATAAGCGCGAAATGCATACAGGCCCTTTTGTTTTTATTTATAGTTGATTTGCACTTTACTAAACAGTCCATTGTAATTAGCTGTTAGCCTAAATGTTTTTGCCTATATGTTATTGTAAGTGTATATTTGCAGATTTGGTAATGTCCTGTATCAGGATGAATAAACTTATTGTAATCGGATTAGTGCAAGTACACAGATGAAATTGGTATGGCATTTGACGCTAAAATGATAGCTTTTGCGTAACTATGGGATGTAGTTCGGCCCAACAACCCCGTGCCATGAGAATTCTGCAGGGTGTGTGTGAGTCCTGCTTCTGTAGCCTGACTTTATTTATCTGGATGTAGGTATGATTGTGATTAATCAGACCGGGAATGTAGCTGCAGGAACGTCAACTAACGGCGCAAAGCACAAGGTTCCAGGGTTTGTATTAATCCTGTTTAAAAAAAGTACCTTTGTGCCTATTCCTGCTTTTTCTTACAATCATTGTTTACTGTGAGTCCTGAAAAATGCATTGTCTCTTGGTCCAGGAAGCTCTAAATATTTAATGAAACCATTTCCATTTTCACTTTTACAATTGAAGGCCAACGGGCAAAACTGACAGTTTTGTTTGTGTGATATGTACCTTGTTTATTAAAAAAAAAAAAACAAAAAAAACTTTATCGTACATGGGGCGCTGTTTGGATGTTAGGTTTCTCCATAGACACTTGATTAAAAAGAGAAAAAAACCTGAAATGGTAATTCACCTCCATCTGCTCAGCGAGTTCTACGCCAGGGTTACATCTTTTTTTTTGCGGTATTGATTTCCTTTACCCCACATCACCTACAATCAGATTTAGAGCGGGTCCGGTTGCCTGATACATTTTTGCGCTCTTGCCCTTGCTAGCCGTGTGGGGGATTCTCCGATCGCCGGAGCGGGGGCCTACGCCGACAGCGCCGTGGGGGGGGCGGCCGCCACCGGAGACGGGGACGTCATGATGCGATTCCTCCCAAGGTTCCCGGGCTTGTTAAATAGATCTGATAAGACCATTTTAAACGGATTTCCTTAACTGACGTGAGGCATAGGAGTGCTACCCGGATGGCAGAACTGGTGTACTTGTCAGCTAGAGGTTTGCTGAAGTATTTCCTGGCAATTAGGGGAAAGGACTCTGATCATGTTTCCACCACTTGTGGTGAATATTCAGCCCTGTCATTCTTAGTGAAAACCTCAATGATTCTAGTAACCCGGTAGCTGACAAGCATAGCCAATTTAGGATATCTTAAGTTTTTTTTTAATATATATATATATATATATACATAATTTGTGCAGAAGCGTTACTGTCCATATGAAAAAGGAAAAATGTCTAACTGGTTGCATAAAAAATAAGAAAATATCTACTGAAGACTTCAGAAGGAAATAAGGAAGCAGCTTTTAGACCGTAATTAGGGATATACAGTTAACTGTAGAATTCAGAGACAAACAATATTGGGAGCTCAGAGCAAATAGGGCCCATGTTTCGGTGATGTAATCAGGAGTAACCTGAGCAGCCAGCGCTGATTTGCTCCCTTATCTTCCTCTTCGTGCAGTTACCTTGCTGTGGAATTAATGCGCACAGGAACAGATCCAACAACGGCTTGTCAGACCGCAATCAAAAGAATCAAGCAGCACTTCCCACATTTCTTTGGTGCAGTTATTTGCGCAAATACGACTGGTGGTTACGGTAAGTGGCGAGGGTCAAAACACATTTTACTTTTATTCAGTCACTTCACTTCTTGACAGAGACAAGTAAGTCCATACCAAGAAATCTGGGTGTTATTACAGGCGGTATTACACATTTTAATAAACTGACATTAATTTCACATAAGTCACGTTTTCTGATGAACAATTCCTACTGGCTGAACATTTTTGCCTGGTGCGCAAACTTTAACATTTAATGTTCTTAGTTACACAAGCATAAACCTTAATGATACACATGGACTTAGAACAGTAGTAATGTATTAAGGTCTTCATGTAATAATTGGGGGAAAAAACAGACATCAGACATAAAGGGGTTATAAATTTATTGCTTGGTTATTCTTAGATAAGGCGCCTAAGTCCAACCCACATATCTGCCATATCAATGTCAATTATGGTCAACATGGCAGTTAAAATTGCTGAAGAATGTGTTTGTATTTTGTTTGAAGGTGCCGCATGCAACAAAGTGCCAGGGTTTTCCAGTTTCCCGTTCATGGTGTACAATCTGCAGTCCACTGATCCAGTTCAAAGAGCTGTGGACTGTATTTAAAGCTACACTGGAACAACACAGTGACTTGATTGGTATGAAATAACCATCAGTTTTTAGTTATAAAGTTTCAGGGTGCTCAGGTAATTGAAACGGCTCACAATCATCCCATGGCAAAATGTCTTTCCAACATTACCTAAATGCAATGTCTTTTTCCACCTGCTAAAGCACTGAAGGTTTTTTTTTCTTCTTCAACTAATTAAAGTTTACATTTTTAGTGGCTTAATTTGAAATTGCACTATACAGACCATGTAATTCTTCTCTAGTGAGAAAGTTTTTATTGGATGGTAAATGAATCTTTCCTAATTAAAACACATCCACGGTAAACAGTGAAAATGAATATGCTGTTTGTTTAAACGCTTATACCAGCGTGTAATATTTAGGATTACAATGGGTAAGACTACAACACAGAACAGAACAAGCAAGCATGCTAATTCTGCTACTGATGTTCTTGCTGTAAACAATACAATGTGCTACTGTCTCACTAAATATTTAAAGCAGATTACATTTCCCGTTCAGTTTAAATAGCTTCATTAAAATTGATTTATTAAAGTTACATCTCGAAAGACACATACTTTTCATATACTCTTCAAAATGTCTGACTCAAGTCTATAGCATTAGGAGAGAAATTGCCAACCTTGCCTTTACCTTAGTATTAAGGTCCCTACTTAACCCACTGGAAGAAGTCACACTGACTAGCCGCTCCCAAGGGACACGCGTAGAAGCGCCGTCCGTTATTGGCTCCTAGTTTCAGGACTGTTCTGAGGAGGCAGCGTTTCCCGTGGTTACAGGTTGGAAAATGCAGATCTGCCCACTGCGGAAAAAAAACAATGTGATCTCCAATGTGTTTTCACCAATTTAACTTTGTTTGCACGATACTTTTACGTGCATATTTCTTGGGTACACGACACCTGACTCAGTACCGAATTGCAGGAATTACTGTAATGGTGAGCAGTTATCCGATGTACTGTATCCGGTAGGATGCCAGAAGCTGCTTAGGAACAGGAAAGTGCAGGGACCATTTGTCCATATTAATGGTCTTAGGAAGGGTGAACAGTCACTTGTAAGCCTTACCTCGAAGTAATGGCACCTCGCTTCCTGTGGCAGAGCACAGCCGTAGAACTGCCTGCCTTTATTCTTCCCATCCTTCCTGACCACCCGCAGAGCACAGGGCCGCCGGTGAGCGATGCAGCAAGGGCTGCTGGGAAAGTCTGTCAGCGTCACCTGAGGATTAAAGCTGAAAGCACATGGACGCGGCATTAAAACTCACCCTGTCAAGTATACAATATGGGGGGGGCGTGCACGCTGGCCCACTGCTAGCGACCGTCTGCATATTTTAGCTACAGCGCGTGAATGTAGTTACACTGAGGCCATTCAGCTACCATTAACCGAACCGAGTGATTTTATGCATTTTTTTAGCATGTTGCAATTGCAAACTAATGATTTAGTTACAGCTCCTTCCTTGAACATACAGTTTTCATAATGAAAACGTGAAACGTTTCTCCATTTGAATCATTCTCCTAACATGCAACTTTAATTGGCCCATATGGGGAATATTATAGTGTCATATTTGAAGCAACTGGTTTGCAAAATAGTTTGTCTGAATAATAATTTAGCAGATGTCACTTTTAATCAGCACGCTTTATGCTAGTTTCTTTTTGTGCACAAATGAACAGAGAATATGGACGTACCTTGTGAAGTTATGATTTCCACATTGAGGTTTGTTACTAGAGGAAGACTTGTGATCAATTCTCATTTTCTTGCATGGTTGACTGGAGACCATACATTCCTCAGAGCTTCTCTTACACGACGAACCCGGAGAACATCTGGGACTTACTTTCCCTTGACCAAAGCTTTGCTTGTTTATATTGCTGTTTTCCAAAGAATTCAGATGAGTTTTCCCAAAGGAATGAGTTGGGCTCGTCAAGGGTTCTCTTTTAGTGCAATCTGTGAAAATTAGAGTCGAAGTCCCGAACGTTGCCTTCCGATTGACTTTCAGTTCCTCCCGCGGCTTGGCAAAGGCATCGCAGGGGTACTTTATCACATGTCTGGTGGAGAATGAAAAATCCTCTTTTGGCTCCTTTTTGGGAACTGTAGAGTGGGGAGGAATTAGAGCTGAGGAATTAATTTGTATTCACAGCAGCGTGATTCAAACACGGCTGGGCCACACTCCACCACCGGCCAGCTTAAATCACACAGTCGCTTGAGGGTTCCTTTCTACTACTTTGTCTGCATGGTGTATCTGAATGTGGGACCACCGACGACTAGGCCTGCGCCTCGCACTTCGCATGAAGGATGACAGGCACGCAGCAGCCAGGGTTGCGTGATGAAGTCATGGAAGAGCTTAGCAACACTTACGTTGGGGTCGGGGTGACAGGCAGGCTGCACAGGACTCCGCACTGGCCATGTTTTTCAGCGTGCAGAGTTCACATGTCCACTGCTCATCTTTCGGGGCCACATGGTCACTGCATTCCGGGCCTTCTTTGGAAACCCAGCCCATTAAAGAATTCCTGCATGGAAGTTTGCTTTAGAGACCGTTACGTGCAATAGTTACGATACGTCTGGCTGACAACCTCGCAAAGCAATAACGTTGGTCACGTGTTTTCTTGCCGAATAAAACAGTATGTCGACGTTTAGCACGTCCCGAAATTCAAAGTCCCCCTATCAATAAAATAAGTCTGCAATGCGCTCCAGAATGCAAATTGTCTACCCCGCGTTGCCTGTCGGAGTATTTCCTCTGCAAAAAATATTTAATTTTTATACGGCGTGCCATTAGGTTTACATGGCAAACAAACAGCAGAGGCAGCTTTGCTGAATTTTGCAACGAGTTAAATTAAAATTCTAAAAACAGCCCAGCGAAGCAATCCGGGCTTTGCGATCAAACCCTGTTTAAGCCTCTCTCAACAAAAACAGGAGGCCGGTAATGCTCGCATCCTGTGCGGAGAGCGTGACAGCACATTCTCAGTCATGATCTCCCAGTTTCAGTCTCCCTCATCTGCATATGGGGGATGAGTTTCTAGCTCTGGACAAACCCCTCCCGTTACACAAAGGAAAAAGGCCCAAGCAGCATGTTAGATAAGCCTTAAATCCGATCTAAATACTACCTTAATAAAATGTATATAACATAAGGGAGAGAAAAGCGACTGCAGTGTTTTTACCTAACATTAACCTGGCTAGGAACCCCGTTTTGACAGTTGTGGCAGAAATATGTCATCCTTCCATTCTCTCCAAGGCGACAGACGGTGATCTTTGCCATACACTGACCACACTGAGGCTGTTTGTATACCTTATAATGTTTATGAAGCATGGATCCAGATTTATTGCACTGGAAAGAAAGAAAAAGTGAATTAGTAAATGAAATTAATCACATTTGCTGTAATAAGGCAAATGCACTAATTAGGTACAGTCAATTAAAATATATTTTTATCTGGCCAAAGCAGAAACCTGATGAGTACAGTCATACCATTGTTCTTCTGTAGGGAATACACACATTTAAATGACTCTCCTACTTAGTAAATCACACAGCGTTCTTTTATAATCTTCTCTTCCACATCTGTTTGCAAATGTATATTATAATGTCAAGGCAAATAACTGGAATTTGGTAATGGCAAAGATGGTCACACTTTTGGATTTCATTTATATGAGGTTTTGTCACATACTGGAAGCATTTATGCTATTCATTAAGGAAAAAAACCGACACAGTACAGTACTTTATGTTTTTAGAACTGATCATCTGATGTGGAATTTACAATTTTCATATGTCACATATGAACAATATTCAGACTGTCATGCTGTACTGGAGATGCATTGAGGCAAAATTTTGCTGTCAGCTCAAGAACACGATTTTCCTTCTACTGCAAATGACTTTGCACATCTCACTATATTAAAATAAAGTGAAATTAGCCCCCGGCATTCAGCCCAGTGCATCATATTCCACAATAAAAATGTAAAGGTGATAAAAAAAATGCTAAATTAAATCTCTTAATCATAATTTTATGGAAATAAAAACAATATGAGCATGTTTTTTGCAAGCGCCTTTTGGGCATAGCAATGGACTCTGTGTGCCTAGCTTAATGAACTTCATGTCACTTGTGAAGCTGTGTACCTTGTAAAAAAGCAGACTAAAATCACGAGTCATCTTCACCAGATGGCGGATCTGACCATCTGTCAACTGGCTGACCTGAGAAAACGTCACATATTTTAATTTACGGTTAATATGGTGGGGTTGTGGCACTCAGAATTACAGCTATTTGAACTTGAACCTTTAATGGTATTCTAATTACCTGCAACAAAGATATGGATAAAGCATAAATACAAAACAATTACGGACAGATATTATTTGCAGTTGTAATTAACAGAATGTCTTGTCGCTTTTACTTGAAAATGACATTAAAAGAATACGGCCAATTCCACTGACCGCAGGGGTTAATATGTTTCTGAAACACATTATAACAGGTACCTTACTGCCAGGGTGAAGACCACTGTTGAATAAGGCCTCGTTTTTTATAATGTTTCCCACACCAGGGAGGACAGTCTGGTCTAACAGAACATCGCAGAGCATGCGATTACTCTGACTCGCCAACACCTCCATTGCTCTGGAGAAACTAAACTTGGGGGAACAAACGTCTAAGCTCTCCATGGTCCTCACTTTCTGTTCACATTCATCCGCAAGCCTGCAATCAGAATTAATATGCAGAGAACATAGGTAGGTACTCATGGTCTATTGCTGGATTGACTAAAAGAATACACAACAGCAACATGTCAATTTAAACTGTATTATCCAGATTGAACATAGGTGGAAAGTTCAAGTCCAGACCAAGGTTTTGTTTCAACCATCCAGTTGAACATAAAAAGTCACAGTCATAGAGTACTAAACTGGTTGACTGAAACAAAATCTTGGTCTGGATTTGAACGTTTCACCTCTGAGGGAAAACATATTTTGCTTTGCGAAGAAGAAGACAAGGGCGGTATGCAAAGACAGACATCAAAGAAAGTATTCTGATTGTAGAAAACAAATGTCAACATTAAACAAAGTGAAATCCTGGACATTTCAGGCATTTTTAGGTCCCAAAAAAAGAGGACAAGTTTGGGAAAAAGAGGAAATATGGTCACTCTTGTACAATCAGTTCTAGTTAATTTTCTGGCAATAATTACTAATTTACTCTATGTTCTGTATTGGGTGTGCACAGAAAAAAAGAACCCAATATGTTAAAATACCAATATAACTGCTTTTTAATTATCTTGATTAAAATAAAGAAAAGAATACTCCCAACAGTATTGCTGTCAGTTTGACTTGGGCACCGCAAGCTTTTGAAAACTAATTCAAACTTCTGTGCGGTATGGTTTGGGTGTAAAAAATGACTACCTGATTTCTACGGTGGTATGAAAAAAGCAGAGAAGGTCATTGGTGAGACTGATCTGCAGGGCGGGCAGCCTCCCGGTCCTGTCCTTCCTGTCACTGGGGTTGATCCTCAAGGAACCATTCATCCCAAAATGAACTCTGGAGCAAGACAGGGCGATCAGAGAGTGATAATCGCAGTGACACTACACAGGGTGTTAGCCTTACTTATTCATGCATTAATGGCCCAATTATACATCTATATTGTAAAACTAGTAGCATTATCAACAATAACGATAATAATAATAATGTATTTTCAGGATTTAAAGTGTACTTGAACAAAAACTGTTTTATAATGCATGGGAGGTTGGGGGTAAAAAGGTTTAAAAGACAGCACAGTTTAAAATCATTGATAAATGTGGACGGCCTCACAGTATTGCATTATACACTGGAGTGCCTTTAATCTAACAACGAGACTGAGAGTTTATTCTTTTTGCTTTGATGTCTCTATAAAGTAAATGAAACTTTTGGGATCAAATGAATACCGTAGAGCACGCAGACCAAAATACAAGAAAAGCTCTTTTCCGAGGGTATCCACGCCGACGTACTGACAGCCGCCGAAGACACTGAAGGACGCTGCGTGAGAAACGTCTCCCTGAAACAGAAATGCAGCGGTACCGGTGAGCCCTGGGCTTTCACTCCTCATAGCACAGCGGCTTCTCCAGATCAGCTTTTATTACGGACATGCTGAGCCGTCTAGTAGGTACACCATACCCATACGTATTTCTTGCATTTAAGTAAAATTACTTTGATTTATTTGATTCATATTTTCTGCATTAATGCAAAGACCATGCTCGTTTGCAATTAGAGAAGCTGCAATAAACAAAGCAGTTATCTTGCTAAATTATACAGACTGTATCTGTAATCAACCCTGCTTACTGATAGGATTGCTTTCGCATCTCCAGTAATTTCTTGAACCTTTTGTCCTTTCTGTACTCTCGATCGGATGTTGTCTCCATGTAACGTGCACCCCGGTCCCTCAACCATTGCAATTTACTAACTTTATCACTTTAGTTATCACAAACTAGTCAGATGTCACTACTGCATCAGCGCCACCAGGAAGTATCCCCTTACAAAACACCCGCCACGACGGGCAAGCGCACTGCGCATGCGCATCAGCCAAACACATTGCACCCAATAGTCACATGACTATAGATTATTTTATTGCGTTGTCACGTTTTTTCTATCAGTTAAAATTGTGAATCTATTTATACGTAACTATTATGTATCCCGTAGGCGGTTGAGAGCTCATTTGTGTGGAAGTGTTTGGTGGGTATAAAATTTTACGCTTCCATCTTTAGACTAGTTCCTGAAAATACTGTCATCCCGAATTGTAGTTAATAATGCAGCGCTGCGTCGCAAATGGGGGGAGGGGGGTTTGAATCACACTTAAGACCTGTAGGTACAGGAACTACATCGGTTTCCTCCTTTTGCTCTCGTTTTCACCTGGGTATGTTTAGAAAATTTAAGAAGTTATTGAACATAGAGCTTCACATGATAATTACATAACAATTTAGACTAAGCCTATATCTACATTGTCAGCAACATTGCAGCTCACTTGCTATTTATTTGAGCTTTTCTGGATGCTGAAAGTGCAAAATGTGTACCCCAAAAAGATGATTAGTTATTTATTCTTTTCCTGTAATGTATTTCTCTCATTTTGCGTATGTATAAAACAGTGTTATTTTTACAGCGCCTTTAACACAACATAATTATGTAATGTGTATAGCTTGCCTATACAGAATTTTGATACAATTACTTTAGAAATGACTGCAAGGAAACCCATTCTTTACCACTACCACTAGTTGTAATACAAACAATAAAAATAATAGAAGAAAAAGAATATCCCCCTTAAGTAAGATGTTTGTCATTTTATTGTTCACTTGGTAAAATTGCAAGTGTAACCCTGCTTTATTTTATGTCAGAAAGAGAATCAAATGTTATTAGTTTGGCATTTTGTACTCATTATACAAGTAAATGAGTGATATTATCACACGCTTGTGGGTTGCTCATGATTTTTCGACATGTTACATCATCCAGGGTTTCGATAATATGCAAGAAAATGTCAAAAATACAGCTGTTAAAAATAAGTTGTAGGCATTTGGCTTCCTTACTGTGTGAACTTGACCTATAGCCTTTCAGCTGCTTTTTCAAAAAAAGTCACATAATTACACACACACACATGTAGGGTAAACATATCCTTATGGGGACCGCTCATTCATTTCAATGGGAAAAATGCTAACGTTAACTATGACAACCTTAACCCCCACCCTGCCCTAACCATAACCATAAGTAACCTAACAAAATACAAGAGTTTTTGCATTTTTAGTTTTTTCATAGCAGTCACTGATTTTTATAAAATAGAGTTTTCCCTTATGGGGACCTGGAAACCGGTCCCCATAAGGGAAAAAAATGGATATTTATCACCCGCTCACACTCACACACACACACACGCACATATATATATACTGTATATAAAGAGAGAAAAGCATTGCTTTGATGTCTCTCTAAACTAAATAAAACTTTTAGAATCAAATGAATACCTTAGAGTACTGAATACCTTAAAGTACTGAATACCTTAGAGTACATATATCCCATCCAGGCCACTCCCTGTCTTGTGCCCTCTGCTTGTTGGGAATGGCTCGAGGTTCCATAATGCTTCCTGAGATAGGCTCTGCAATGGCCGTCTCCTGGTTATAGATGGATGGATGGATAAGTCTGGATTAACTGAATTGTTGCTATATGAGCGATAGCTCCTTAAACCTGAGACAGGCACTGGAGCAGAGGGGCTACATTCACCCACAATGGAGTCTGTAATGGGGAAACGGACTGATCCTCTCTGGTAGCATCTGCATATTTATAGCAGGCCTTTTCTGCTGCAGCTACGCCTACCTAATGGGGAAAGAATAGAGCCATTTTAAACATGAGCACCTCACAAAGCAAGAAAAAAGACATCAGCTCAAATATACCCCATCTGTAAAGTGGACCTTAATTAGTACCAGTTTGTAAAAATTTCTGCCATAGTTACAGTTCTCCAGCTGATATTATTTTAAGTATTGAAATGAAATATCTGTAATGAAAATAATACTGTTACATATATCCATGTGAGATAACAGAGTATGTAGTCATTACACATATAGCGTAACTATTGGATTATATGTTTTGCACCCTATTCTGCAGAATTGTGGTTGGTTTCCACAAAGTCAACCAGAGGATATGGGTAGATATTTATAGCCAGTGGGACTGCATAAGCTAGAAAGGCCAATCATAGCCTAAGGTAATGGAAATATGAAAAACTGCAGTTCATGAATATTCCTGTATTTCCTTAGCAGAGACACCTGTAAATAACGGATCTCCATTAAATTCTCTTTTTTAATTGATTCATTAATTTAAATCAAGTCAAGGCAAATATGAAATTTTCTTCTAGAAAAAAATGATTGCAATGATTGCAAGGACTTTGTATTATTTTTTGAGTAAGTTTTCTAAAAAGATCTAAGCACCCTTGGTAACATTAAAGTTAGAAAACTTAGTGTTCATTGTAAATGTCAGCATTGTGTGATGCAGGGAGATACATAAAATCACATTTAAAGGACGGCTTTAACTTTTTAAAGCAAGATTCAATAAAATCACCAATACATCAAGAATACAACCATAAAACGGCTATATTATAGCAGAAGAGATAATTCCAACAACTCATGCCTTGGTGTTACCATATTTTCATTTGTACTTGAATAACAACATAGACAACTAGTGAACCTTAATTAAAAGAAATTGAGGTGGAAAAGTTAGTACTGACGGTATAAATGTTAAACCAGAAAACAGTGATTTCATTTTGGTCTGGGTTTGGGTATATAAGAAATGATTAGTTTATTATTTTGCTGCATAACCTATGGTTTCATCAAAATTGACTGACAGGTCTAACCCTAATACAGCTTGATGTTTTACTGGAGCACCTCAATTTAAGTGCTTCATTCAAAAGTACCTTCTGGTCCACAACTGCAGCTTTTCTTCCTTTTACGTGACTGTTGGCTTTTTAAAATGATTTCTTGAGTAGAGTCTCACATATCACATACACCCCATTGCAGTCTCCCACTGCCACATTGCCTGACCGTGCTTTAGCACAATATATCTAACTGTAACAGGCTTTACCGCCTTCTTACATTTGGTTGCCTCCGCATTTGTTTTGTTTGGTTAAATATTCCTGAAATGTTAAGGTGAGAAAAAAAAAAGAGTTAAATTACTATTTAAATGAAGAGTAGACAAGTAAAGTTCATTTACAAGTTTTATGGGTCTGAATTGTGATTCACAGGCTGTAATATAAAGTAAATATGAACCGGGTTTTGTTTTTTTTACCTAACTATTTGAACTATCTTCACAATATAGGTCTACAGTTGCAATTAGTCTGTGAAGTGTACGACCAACACTGGCTTTTACGTCAGAGTTGGACCAAGACTGCCCTCTACTGTTACAGTTACAAAAACATGAGCCAGACATATGAAAAGTCTGCGGCTTTCTGCTTGAATTAGGCACCATCCGCCAGCGCTCCCGTTCTGCCACACAAATATGTATTATCAGTCTTATATGGTTTAGAGGAATGGTGTACGTTAGTCATGAAATGTGATTTAGTCAGAGTTGTGTTGAACGTATTGAGGCCTGGTAAACACGAGTATCATTCGTGAAATTTGACGTAGTATTAGTAGTAAAATTTATTTGCCGACTAACATATATTGAACTAGTCGTTTTCATGAATAATTTCCAACTGATAATGTTAATATACTTTACAGAGTTTTTAAATTTAATAACCAGTATGCCCCTTAAAAATCATATAAAGCAAAGGCAGCACTGATAAATTTCTCCATAACTCTTGTATTATTTTAGCATTATTCAATGGAAACTGCAGGAAATATGGAATAAGATATGAATTTTAAAAAACTACTTTTTTGTTATTTAAACAAAATACTACATTTAGGTTCCGTTCAATCATTTTTCGTAAACAATAACGGTATAGTGTATTTGTTAGTCTTTGTCTATGACGACGTCCATGCAGAGACGCGGAACTAAACCGTGCTGCAGTTTAAGTCCCAGCTGTTACAAATACGTCAGCAGGGTCACACACGACGCCCGTCGGATTTCCATGGGACAAATGACGAGATCCATGACTAAATTCCCGGACAGTAGCCGGCCTTTTGCTGCACAATTGTCCAATGTTTACTTAACGATACTTGCTCTCTTCTGCTGTAAACTCTTCGTCAAAATAACGCTCAATATCCTCACGTACTTCTACGTTATTAAAGGTAATCGAAAGGAAGCGGCGCGGGTTTCTGCTGACTTCTATGACGTGGGCCAGAGGCACAGTAAGTAGCCTACAGTGTAACTCACTTTCCTCCTAAGTTACTCTCACTTACAGAATTCTGCATACGAGTCCCGTAGAGTAGTTTCCTGCATGTAATTTGCATTCCTCTGTGTATAAAGCTGGAAAAATAGATCTTTAAAATCTTAAGTAAATATATGTGCTTGCCCTTTGCAGAACCCACGAAAGGGAAACTCTACAACTGATATACTGTATACAAATGCTTTGATGCAGAAATGAAAGCTAAATTTACTTAAGCATTTCTTGATGCATAGGCATTGAAATATAACTTGGGAATTGCTTAAATATTTGCATTTTCACGTGAAAAGGTCTTACGTTGTAGATTAGAATTGTCTTGTGGACATACGCCAAATATAGCCTACTATATTTTACTTGTAATAATCTACCCATGGTTTATTTTTGTATAAATATATGCATATATGCGACACGATTTAGAGAAAAACAATGGTTGTGGAAAAAATACCCAAAACTAAACATGGTGTAGTAAGAATTAAAATATTGCTTGAAACTTTGTTTAAAAGGCGTATGATGTACGTACGCAACAAGCACCTCTCTGTACAAAAGACTCAAGCTATATAAATATATATCAAATGTATGCCAACATACAGGAAGGAAACAGCGTTGTATGATATGATTACCAGCACCATTACCAATGCAATATTATTTTTGGTTACGCGTTGTCTTGACAATTTGACAAAAAAGAAAAGCTTTTTACGCCGTTTAAAATCAATCTGGTTGCACGTTTTATTTTGTAACTGGATACATAGTACCCTGGACTTTTTAAAGTAAGTGTTCTTTCCTGGGTCACACTGTTATGAGTCACGGTAAAGTTAAGGTGTTTCTTAACCAGTATTATAAATAGGACAGGGTCACATTCTTCCCTCTCCCCAGTAGCGGCTCTGCTTGGCATTTAATATTCAGCTCTTCCATCATAGCTGTGCAGTGATCAGCTGCAGATCACTTCAGCAGCAACAGGAAACCGGCCAATCAGCAAGCAGCTAGGAATGAGCATATGCTGCCAAGGGTAAGAGGCAGTTGATGAAAGTCCCGTCTGCAGAAAACAAGCACTCAGAAAACACAGGAAAAGGGTTCAGTGTTTTCCCTCATCTGATCTTACTGGGATACTTATAGCTAGTCAAGGTCAGTATTACAAACCTACGATAATTTGAGTTTCCCCGGTGTGGTGTTGGATCTCATTTCTTAAAAATACTGAAAATAGTACCCATACATATGTAAAATGTTTTGCTTAGTTTTTAAGGTATTTCCTTGTAATCACTAGGGCTGTGTTGGTTTGCACTGTACACAGGTAAACATATCAAATATTTATTGTGTAATGCAGAATAACACAGTGGCAGTGAGCACATAAATATCTTATTCTGGGTTTGGATAGTACGGGGAAGATGAAGCAGTGTAAACGTCTGTTGTGTTTACTGTGGTCATCCCGAATGTATGGTGCAATGTTTTATTTAAGCAGTACGCAGAAAACACGACACCTTAGGAAATATTTTAATGTCAGCCCTTAAAAATGTTGCAATTCACACATAGATGTACTTTAAAAAATGTTATGAAAATGTTTTACCCATATGGCTAAATTTAACAAAGATGTTGACGTTCTGCATCTCTGATTCTAATACTTAGACAGAAGCTGTGTAAAGTATGCTTTTTTTTTGAAAATGTAGACATTTGTGGTCTTTGGAGGAAGTCAATAGAGTATGTGGTAAGCAAGTTATTCTAGCATATTTGTTCTGCTTGCTGACATAAGGGAGAAAAAAATGCTAACTCAGATTAATTGGCTGCAAATCAGCACCAGTGATACACAGGCTACACTATTATTTTTTTCTTGGTTTTATATCAGGTCATAAGAAATCGGCAACGAGAAACACTTTACCTACCCCTGGGTGCATGTCAAGTTTCAGGCAACGCTGAATATGCTATTCAGTCCCCACGTATTAATTATAAAAAGTAACGATGTGGATAAATCTTAGACAAAAATAATCAACAGTTGATATTTAACCACAGTAGCTAGAAAAGGATATTTCTCCTTATGAGGGTTTTCAGCTGCTTGGTTTATCGTCAGTCTTATAGATGAAGGGTGTACAGGGAGATGATACTGAGGATGATGATCTGAATGTCTGGAATGCCTCAGCGGTTATTCTGGACATTGACCAAGGTGTGTAAATCGCACTGTTCTACTGGAATCTGAGTCACCTATCCATTACCGAAGTCACAAACACTGTTTATACCAGGTAACAAATATCACAACCATTGTTTTTCCTGTCCTTTACTGGTTATATATTGGATGAAACAAAAATATTACAGTTGTGATGCTGCCATGTTTGTATTTAAGCATTTCCCACTATATGGAATTACTGAAAAAAGGCTATCACAAAGCTACCAAAAATGCCATTGTCAAAGAGAAAAATTCTGGAATTATTTTTCAGAACTTGACTAATATTTTATAATAATAAGTATAGTAACCAAACTTTATTGACTGGGCTGCAGAATTCTGTAATGTCACGGTATCTTAAAAGCATAACGCGAATGCTCCTTCTCAGAACATTCCATCATTACGTTCCTCAGAAATGATTAAGGATGTTATTTCTGTAACAGGGTCATGGGCAGACCGGTCCCCTCTACATGAGGCTGCATCCCAGGGTCGCCTCCTGACTGTCAGGAAACTTATCTCTCAGGTGGGCTGGAGAAAGCAATGTCCTATTAAGCTGACATCTGAGATGACGTAGAATTTTTAACACTTGATTTTGAAGGAAGAATATTTATACCTTTCATCCTGTATAAACTGAAATATGTGTACTTCATGTCGCCGTAGGGCTGTAACGTGAATGTGCTCACCATCGACCACGTGAGTCCTTTACACGAGGCCAGCCTTAGTGATCATGTTGCCTGCGCCAAAGCTCTTATTGAGGCAGGCGCCAATGTAAGTTCTGCAAGAAGCAAATAATATGTGCTTAAAAATATAACAAAGTGTGTTTATATTCAATATTCAATGTTTATATTGGAGATGTCAAGGAATTGTGATGTGTTTCTGCAGCCATAGAAAGGCATTTACTGGCTAGTGACAGAGATTGGGGGCAGGTGTTTTTCCATTTATTTGAAAAAGCTTACTGCTGCAAATATCAGCTGACAAAGATGACACTAGACTATGCGTCACCTGATTGCTGTTATGCTTTCTACGTTCAAAAAAAAAAAAGCGACTAAGCATAAAAATCATGTATAATAATATTTTTATAACAGGAACGTACTGTGGTCAGTAAAGATTACCCAAATAAAAGCCATGTTTATGTGTTGGATACTTTGAATTTATAATCAGTTGAGTGATTACATGATAATCTGCCACACACTCTATATAAACTATATGAATTACTCCCATGGCACAGAAAGCACTGGCAACAATGATTCCAAAGTGCTTTTCCATAATGTGGCAGCTTATTTTCACACATCAAAGAAATGAGTCCAAAAACAGATCATCAAACAACTTAATTTGATTGATTTTGAAATGAAAACCTTTCATTTTCAGTTACTATTTTAAAAATGAGTCCTTTTAGTAATAGCCTATTTAATTGTTTAACCATGGAATATTGTTAAGAGAGCATAGATCATCACTTATTAAACTGTAATTTGTCTGCCGATTCAAGATGTGACACGAGTCAACAGACATATAGTTAGCGGTCATGTGCCAAATTAAACTGAGCATTAGTAATTACTGGGTGATTAATGGGCAAGACTGCCAGAGTAGAGTAATAGTTTAAAGTATGGTTTTATATAGAATCTCCATCAAAGCTTTGATGATATGAGATTCAAAAAGGGAAAAAATCAGGCTTAGGAGATGCAGCCACAAATATGATAGTATTACGAAGAACGCCACTGCGTTATGAACTGCACTGTGTGTTCATTTCTCAGGTCAATGTGACCAGCATTGATGGCGTGACACCACTGTACAATGCCTGCTCATCAGACAGCGTGAGGTGTGCTGAGGCACTGCTGGAAAACGGCGCCAAATTCCAAGTTGGTTTGTTCCAACCTTCACCGATTCATGTAGCGGCCAGTAAAGGTATTCCATGCTCCCAACTAAATTAAATTCAAACAGCAATTCAGTAAATTCTGTTGACATTGTTTTTTAAATTTTTTTATCTATCACTTTTATTTCGTGCTATATACTATATAACATGAATGGAACAAATTGTTACTTATTGATACTAACAAACTACCAGAGAAGAATATTCATGATATGAACTCAAGTCCTCAAAGAAATCTTACATATCTGTATGAAATGCTTTCAAACCCAGGCTGTCATGCAACTTTAGAGGCGCTTATAGCTTGGGGTGCTGATGTTGACTATAACATTCCTCACATGGGAACCCCGCTGTACATCGCTTGCATCTGCAAAGAGTTCCAGTGTGCCAGAATACTGCTAAACGGAGGTGAGGCCATTTGCACTGACACCCCTGCCTTTACAAGTAATACACCGCTTGGTTTCTACGAAAAAGCTATGTTAGCGATACATTTTGTAAACTGAAAGAAATCTGAAGAGGATTTTCGCTTTTACGAAGAAAGGAGACAAGCCAAAATGGCATTTAGCAATGATGGACCGCATATTCAACAGTGGTTCTGTAATATTATAATGGAACTGAATTTTTTTTATTGCCTATAGTGATAATTGCGATGATAATAGATGATAAAGCGCAACGCATTACTCGTGTTTGTGGTGATGCTGCTTTAGATAAACCCACTGCGCTGCCAGGTGTATAAATAATACTTGATAATAATACATAAATCAGCAACGTAGTTGTTTATTTACTATACTGTACTTTTTATTGTTATTTAGGTTATACCATGTAGCTTAGGTGTATACTAGAAAATACCATCTAGGTTTGTGTAAGTACACTGTATGATGTTCTCACAACAACGAAATCGCCTAACGACACATTTCTCAGAATGTGTCCCTGTTATTAAGCGACGCACGACTGTATTGATTCTAGTAAATGAAATTACACTGTGCATACATTAATACAGAAACTAAAACGGATAATGACACAGCAGGAGTGAGACAGACAATTAACCAATCCGGGAGGGTGCAGGACAACGAGCAATCAAGTAAACGCACAAGGGCAGGCACAAGAACAGGCAACAGGTGGAACTAATTAGCTCAGAGAACTCAGAAACTAAACAGGGAAACTAAGAACTGACAAAGAAACAAGGAAAACAAAATCTACACCATGTTAGGGGAATAAGAAAGACAGGTAAAACACAACCAAGGCACAAAGCAAGAAACCAAAACAGAAAACAAAGCACAAAATCACAGGAACTAGGAAAACTGATAAAACCAATGAAACAAAATACAAAAACAGAGGAGGCGGGATTCAAACACACAACAGAGGGGTTAACAGGTAGTCACACGCTCAGCTCATTGAGCCAAGCAGCAATTGGGGGAGGGGCTGACCCTGACATGAAAGGTTTCACAGGTAACACACTGCTTTCGGATTGCGGGGGAAACCAGTGTACCAGGTAATATCTGTAACAGAGAATGTGAATGTGAACTGAATAAAGTATACAAAGTGCAATGGACTCTTCTATATTAATATTAGAGAAAAATATTGGGATAACTATATGTAAACCAGGCATGTAGCCAGGTAGTGAAATCAGAATCAGAACCAAGTACGTTCAGACATACAAGGAATTTGCTTTGGTGGTTGGTGCCAGACATTGGGAGATAAAGCTGGGTTAATAAATAAATAAGTGTGTGTCTATATATATATATATATATATATATATATATATATATATATATATATACAGTATATATATATATATGAAAAATAATAATAAAAGGTTTGCCAGACTCCACATGAATATTTTCTAGCTCCTGATCTGGACTATATAATGTATTGGGTTTAGTAGCATTTTTCTATCTAGTTCCAGCAGGTATGCATACTCAAACAAACACTTGAATTCCTGTAAGATTTAATGAAAAACAAAAATTTACAGGGAGCATCTAAGACCCAAAAGACCGCTTCAGGGCATGCTCCAGATGGTAAAGCTACGCTTCTGTGTACCTTCTGCTGTGTGCTTGAGAAGCTGCCACCATTGTTATCGTAAGATTGGGAATTCACTTGAGGTTACTGTGTGACCACTGCTTGGTGAGTTTATAACTCGCAAACATTTCCTCTTTCTCTGATAGGGGCAAATGTGCACAAAGGTAGATTTCTCGAGACTCCTTTACACGCTGCTGCTCAGGAAGATTGCACCGAAATCGTGAAAGAATTGCTGGCGTTTGGGGCCGACGTAAATGCAAAGAACCACGAGATGAAGAGGCCAGTGGAGGTGGCTCCCCCAAGCAGTTTAGCTGAAGGTTTCCTCCTGCTTTATGAAGGTGAATCATTGCCTGCACATAATAAGCACTGGTGGAAACTACATGAATTACCTAAATGACCACCACAGCATAAATTGTTATAATGATAAAAGTGCTTTTGCTCCTGTTTCCTTCAAGTTTGCTGTTTCCTGGTTGCATCAAGGATTCTCAACATGAGATGATTTTTTATGTAAATTTTTAAAACTAGAAAGCATTTCCAAAGACCATGTATAAACAGCTAGCCGAAGCTACACTAGTGGCAAAAATTGTGCAAACGCTTCCAATTTTTACTCAACTGTTGCTCCAGGTACTTTTTTAATCATCCAATGTATGATATTTGTAAACATTTTTTTATTGTTTGTAAACATTAACGCCAAAATTTGTGTAGTAACTTCTACAGCGTAATCCCAAAAATACTAGGTGTTTTCACAAGTTTGGCCACTTGTAGATACTGTGAAATGTGCCTCAGCTGAGGGAGGGCTTAGTAACACACGCCTGTCCATTCCCCTGTAGCTGTGCCACGCCCCCTGAGTCAGCTCTGCCGCCTCAGCATCAGAGACTGCATGGGACGCTCCAGGCTCTCGCTCATTCCTCAGCTCCACCTCCCCAGCATCCTGAAGAAATTCTTACAGTATCAATAGAAAGTCCGGCATTTCCTGCTGTTGACACGGATACACCTAATCATATGCAGGCTGTGTGTGCTTTCTTAGAAGAATTCAGTAATGCTCAAATGTATTATTTGATATTTGCTGTAATGTGGAAAAATTCTAATAAAAACAGGTTTATTTGTGTGATAAAGGGGTATTACTAGAAATAGTGATGCCCAGTGTTATTCAGTGAATTTAATTCAGTACTTAATATGGTATTATTTAAACATGGTATATGGTATTAAATATGGTATTATTGTCTCTTGTCCTCAGAAAATTTACAATTGACTAAAGTGGAATTAAAATAGGCCATGACATAAATAAATATTAATTATTAAAATAGCAATAGGTACCCATTTAAAGATATGACAGAATGTCATGGACATTACTTTTTACCCTTTAGATTATTTAAAGTGTCGTTCTGTTTTTAAATTTTCTTTTGTTTTTATTAGTCATGCTAATTTATGAATTTGCGTATCTTTAGACCCATTTAATCAGCGCTTAACTTTACGACGACTTACCACTTTACGCAGAAGGAGCTGTTACCATGGAATCATAAACAATGAAAGCACTTCGCTAGGCTTCCTTCCTTATTGTCGCCTAAACTGCTATTTTGAAGAGGTTGCGCTGAAACGGCGATCGCTGTCAATCGCCGCCGAATTTCCCCTTATAAATTATATGAGATTTTTTCCGTAGTTTTACCTCCCGCTGTGTTTACTATGGCCTATGCACACTCGCCTAACAGGGCAGGAGTGCCCAGGGAAGTCCTCAAGTGGCTGCAGAGCCTCGACTTATCTTTTACCCCGAAAAATATCCGCAGGTAAGAGTGCACACTGTGCAGCGCGATTATAAGTCATTCGTTCTCTTAATTTTTTTAATAACCAGATTTTTTTTAAAATTCCAAGCTTACATTGCACATCTGTCTTCGATTTAGTTGACTATGTAATACCCTTGACGTTCATTCGTGTGTATCGTCCCTAATGACCGTACCTGCTAACTATTTCTTCATATGCATTTTCGACAGTGGGGTGCGTTTCTTGTGCATTTAGGCTAGTTCATGGATTACGTATATAACGTTTCATTTTTCATAACGAATTTTACTAGAGACTTTTCCAATGGTTACCTCGTGGCAGAGGTATTCTCCTGCTACTACCCCTACGATTTCCAAAACCATTCCTATGACAATGGGGCCTCACTCCCCGCCAAAACAAGCAACTGGACTCAGATCGAAAAGGTAAGAATCTTAACAAGTACAAAACAGCAGAAAGTCAATTAGATTCTGCAGAGAGTGCCATGATTATGTCAGCGAACAGGTATCCGTTTCAAAAACATGATAAATACAATGTGACCTCTGCTAACAAAACAACACAAATAAACAATGAAAGACAACAACAACAATAATAATTAATAATAATCTGACAGAAATCCAGAGTGGCATTGACATTAGTTTAGCTAGAATAACGTATATTTAATTTGAAAGAGGATACGTTTTTTTTCTTTTAACCTTACTGTTCTTCCAATTTTTACCAAAAAGCCAACTATTTGTTTATTATTACAAGTTTCTAGGGTGAGCTTTTTGTTGAGCAGATTCACAATTATGTATTGCTACAAAACAGAATTGTCTAGTCAGAAATCATTTCTCTGATTGCATTGAAATGCATTTTTAAATTTCAAAATTTTTGAAGTCACTACAAAAACTGGGCATCAGGCTGCCAAGGGACGTGATTGAGGGGACCATTCACTGTAAACCGAGAGCAGCTGAGATTTTGATCCAGGAGATTTACGTTCTTCTGACAAACAGAAGGTAGGTGTTTGCCATCAAGGTCCGTGAACCGGGAATATTTGTGTTGAATTTGAATAAAAAAGTTTTATTCTTATCTCTCTACACCTTCCCCTTCAGAATTAAAAGTTTCCAGGATGCTGAAGCCGACTTCACTGACCGCAATTACCAAGAGATGCTACCTATGGTTGCCCGAGCAACAGCCTCCAGGGCAATTAAAAGCAACCTCCGTCTGAGTGAGGTGATAGCTGAGCCCAGTATCGAGAAAAACAGGCAAAAAGTTACGGCGATCATTCACATGCATCTGCAGCGGAGGCAGGCTGAAAAAGTGGAGAACCCAGGTGAGGTTTCAGCAGACATTACATTTTCAGGTGTGTTTGTGTATAAAATATCAATGGTTATAGTAATTACCATAGGGAAATACCATACATATTCACCTGTGATAAACTCCAATTTTTGTTCCAAATAATTATGAAGATGATACATGAACATGTAATAAAATATTTTAGTAGCTATTAATGTGTATCATATAGTCTCCAGATTAGTTGTGGAAAATTAATTTGATGGCTAATTTGACCTGCAGGTTGCTGAAACATCAATTTCTCAATCTTTAAACAAACAAATTTGTTCAGTTATAGGAAAAATGGGATAATAGCTCAAACACTGTGGAATATCCCAGGCCAGACTGCAAAATTTGTAGGTGTAATTTATCTTGAAATATATATTATATTATATTATATTAGCAGCTATTTTACATCAGTTTTTTGCATGTATAAAATGTACATTTATGAAGAGATAACGTGAGTTTCATAAAAATGAGCTGAATTGTCAGCTTTGAGCTCAAGGATTCCTTTGCAGCAATCTGACTGCCTGTCCTTCTCCCGGAAAGGACGCTTCAACATAAAGCCGACTCTGGGAGAGCTGGCTGTCAGGCTGCCGCCGCCATCAGATAGAGCAGAAGGTTCTCTTTCAGGTAGCAGTCAGCAGATCCAGCGTAAGCGCACCTTTTACATTTGCTGTCCTACTTAATGTCACAGATTTTGCAGTATTAAGCATTCATATTATAATCGATAGTGAGAATGTCACTGTAACAATCATCGTGGGCAAAATTCCTTCCTGAGAAGCTTCTGAGTTAGAATCATTGCAGCGTTAAAAATGAAACTGAAAATGACTCGGATGTCTATGACTACCAGGCAGCCTTCTATCAAACATGATACCTGTAGATTTCTTCACTGATGATGCATCATTTGAAGACCCTGCTAGCATATCTCATGGCATCCTGGTCGTGTGGCGATCTGGTGAACTCAACCAAATAACATTAAAACTGCTACGGAAAAAAAATAATTATAATATTAATAATAACAATAATAATAATCGTGATATAAATTGTCTGTGTGTAATCTTTGTACCTGCTACCTGTATGTCACTGCAGACACCATTTGTACAAAAATGTGACCAATAGTACCTAGTAGAGGGTCAATACAATATCATATCCACACATAGTAATACTATACGATTCACTGTTGTAGCAATTAAAATAGGAGACTATATAAAATCCCACATTTATCACCCTCCAAGTGCTGCTTTATTAATTAGTATTTTAGTTTTAATAGTAGCAAAATGCATCGTAAGCATCATAAACATAGCGTCATAAAATAAAGTGTCTATATTTTTCATTTGTTTATGTAATAACCACAAGCGTCTATAAACCTGATTTGGTTTGCTGATTCTGTTATTCAGGGCACCTTATGGGATTTTAACAAGTATCTCTGCTCTGGAGGTGCCAGCCATCAGCACTGGCTTGCTTGCTTTCCTGTCTCATTCCTATTCAGACACATACCTGTAATGTCCCTTCCCCCCGTTCAGTGTTGTCTTCCTTCACAAGAAGTACATCTAGTGTTCAGTTCAAGGTGATAGAGTTGTGACAACTACAGTATATAAAAATCCTGCTATTCAGCACTGGCTGAAAAGGGAATACTCAAAGGGAGTAATTACGATGAGCTGAATATTCACCACGTCTCACTAGTAATGCAGAATTACAGAAATATCCTTAAATGTATCCTGTAAGTCAATTAGCTCAAATTCTGCATGTTTTTTTTTTTATTGAGATAACAGAAATGCAGTGCCAGTTATCTATTATCGACTTACTTAATTATTGCTGTTAATTATTTTATAGTATAGTTTCCACAAAGTTTTAAATTGCCTTAAATTAAAATGTATGACAGAAATTGAATGTGTAGAAAATATTTTGAAAATATATTTAGTAAAAATGTTTCCTTTTATATCCACTCATGATTCCAAAATGCCATCTAATCGTGGATCGCTGGTTCCCTCTAGTGCTGAACAAGAAGCTGAGTAGTTCAGTGTCAAGTTAGCATATCTCTGTATAGCTTACAATATATTGCAAATATATTACAGTACTGTCTTAGGACATTAGTGCCTGCTCCACATTTTTGGCATTGTTTCTGGCTTTCTTACTGTATCTCTGGATATTATTAAGAGGTTTCACAGCACCTGATATCCCCATGAAACAGGTGAGGTTATTTTTTATGAAAAGTATTGTCATCCAGGAAATCCATTACGTTCTGTCACATGGCTGACAGAAAATGGAGCTGAATTGTTATGGAGCCTTAAACATGCATTTCTATGTCATTTTAAGCAAGTCAAATGTGATTCTTTTAATTCATAAATTGACCTTGTCATGATACTTTTTAGAAACATATACTTATGTCCTTGCAGCTTTATGTTTCAGTGATGTTTACAGAAAAGTCACATAAGTAATGTGCTTTCTCAATAACTGCAAAAACATTTCAATGTACACTTTACATGTGATGTAATTAATTTGCAAATTTTAAACTATTATTAATTGCCATCAGGTCAATGTCAATCCCTGTCATATATTACAGTGCAGTTATTTCAGCATATTTCTGTCTGTTCCTTTACACATTTCCTTGCTTCCTTTCTGTCATAGCATTCTTTACAACTCTGACTCACTGGGTATCAAAAAGAGGCTGGATCGGAAAAGAAAATTAAATTCTAGGGGTGGCGACACAACATGCTTAGGCTTGCAGGAATGTATGGGGCATTCTCATAGGGCCATCACTCTCATAGGGCCATCATTCTCATAAGGCCATCATTCTCATAGGGCCATCAGTCTCATAGGGCCATCATTCTCATAGGACCATCATTTTCATAGGGCCATCAGTCTCATAGGGCCATCATTCTCATAGGGCCATCAGTCTCATAGGGCCATCATTCTCATAGGGCCATTTGTTTTGTGGCCTTTTCCAGGTTACTGGGGTCAAATAGAACACACCAAATTGTACATAACATGTATGCAATGTACAGAATGTACAGGATGTTAGGAATAATCAGCACTACAACCCTTGTAACCTGACTGCCTTTCCAGAATCTTCCACCACCCACCCCTACTTCACCTGCATTCTAGGAACTGAGAACACTTTGTTGCCAGTATGTACATCCGTGCCAGAATTAGTCGTGGCTTGGTGTTAAACATGAAGTGCACGACAATATTGCAAGATGCTTATGAGCAAACAAGCTGTCTTTAGTTAACAAGATCTTACTGTATTGTTTCTTAAATTTTTATTCATGCATTTTCTGTAGTTTCCTAAAGTGGGTTTTCAGAGACAGTTATCTGGAAATTTCTAAACAAGTGTTTCAGATTATAGGAGAATTATCATTATGATAAATTAGCCCAAGAAAGCCTTAAATTTGGTTACCTTTCATTCACAGTTTTTCTTTGGGTATTCTGCTCAGCCTGACTACAATTTTTAGTGGGGAATTTAGAAATACTTCTAGGAATATAGCTTATATCTTAAATTTTGAAATGCGCAAAAAATACAAAATTTGTAGCTATGGCAAATATATATCAACAGATGGCGCTGCTGTATTTTATTTGTATAACTTCTCTATATTAAATTTTTCAGTAAATATGACGCTACAAAATTAATACTCATAAAACTAAGTTTTCTAATAATTATTTTGAAAATCTCTTTTAAATGGAAAAAAGTTTTATAATTGAATTTATGAACATACCTAAAACCTTCAGTATATTTTTGCTAAGAAAAGGTGATTTCCTTGTATGGAAATCACCTTTTAGGGTGTGACTTTTTAACAAAATTCAGATAGATTGAATATCCATTAAAGCAAAATGTATTTTTGTCCTAAAGCTTGCAACTAATCAACCTGTCTATTAATTGGACAAAATGAAAATGTGGAGAGACACTAAATAAAAGAGTGACCATTTAATTCTCTATAATCTGATCTTTGGAAAAACAGTCCAGATGGCTGATTGGTACAGTCTCATGATACATTGCATTCCATCTATATATATATGTATATATATATATAATATCCATATATATTTATTTATATTTATATATAATTTGATTGCACATTGCATTACACAACACAATTTGGCAAACACTGATAATGGTCATATGGCTATTGGGCAGTGTAAAAAAAATAAATGTAATTTTGTGATGTTGTAAGGTTCACTGCTTTCAGCTTTTGCAAAACAGCGGCTCCCTGAATTGGTTGCCATGGTGACAGTCCTGGTACCCATGAAGATTCAGCAATGCTTTGTGTTAAGTTGAACAATCTGTTCAATAGTAATTATGATGCAAAAATGTATGCCTGGAAAAAAGAACAAAAATGTAGTTACATTCATAATGTTACTTCATATGTTTACTTTTTCATTTTGAGTTGTTTATATATCAGGCTGCAATTAAAATATATTATAACGTGCAAAAAGCAGTTTCTCCCTATGTTACGCATATATGCACAAAAAACAAAGACTACTTTTCCTAGTTAAAGCTAAGTTCTATGAATTTCCCTTCAACCCTTCCTAAATAAAAGTGTGGCAACATTTAATTCAATATTAATATTAATTACCTAACTTATCTTATTCTTTTCTGGGTTGCAAGGGTCTGGAGTCTATTCCCGGCAGCATAGCGCAGGAGGTTGGGGTCCGCCCTCGATGGGATGCCAGTCAATCGCAGGGCACATACACACTATGGGCAATTTGAGGTGCCAACTAGCCTAACTGCGTGTCGCAGGACTGCAGGAGGAAAACAGTGTGACACGGGGAGAACATGCAAACTCCACACATACAGAGCGGCAGAGAGTGTCAAGCACTCAACCCTGGAGGTGTGAGATAGCGGCATTACCCATGAAGGCACCGTTCCTCCAGCCTTCCTCTGATTGGTCCAATTTCATCCCACCGTCCAATGACACGCTGTTATGTGTCCTGAGATGGACTGACATTTTGGCCAGGGTGTACCCCAGTTTTCTGTCCTGTTCTCCCTAAAACAACCTCCAGACTCCCCTGAACAGGTTAAGCAGCTAAAAAGTGTGGGATTAATCCGAAGACGAAAAGCAACACTGCAAACCTGGAATGTAAATGCAGTATGTTTTGTGCATCATTACCACCTCTCAAAAGCAGTTTTACAGCATAATGTCAGACTCTTGTGTATTTCTGTCAGTCTTCATAAATCTCGTATGGTAGATTGGGCAGTAGGCTGCATAGTGCTTAAGGACATTGCACTCCATCCAAAGTTGCAGTTTCAGTTCTTTGATCAGTATATTCATTATAATATCCAGTTATATAAATGTTGTATAAATGGATTTTAAGCATCAGCTGAGTAACTGAACTTAAATGTTACTGAGCTAAAGATACATATGAATGACTTGGTAACACTTTACTTAAAGCAGTCGTCATAATGCATCATACTGTAGGTACCTTCATAATGCATTATAATGCATTCATAAAATACAGTGGTACCTCAGTTCTCAAACTCATTAAAACTCGAATTTCTTAAAAGTCGAACGAATCAGTTCAGAAAAAAATTACCTAGTACTCGATCTGAATCTCAGAAGTCAAACCGTGAACGCCGACCTAAGATAACTAATTGTATGCGTGGGGAAATGAGTCACGCGGCACGTCTCTCAGCGGAAACAAAGGGTAACGCTTCAGTCTCAGCCTCGCATTAGCTGTGATAGCGTTGTGTATATTTACGCTAACTGAATACATACAGTATATTTAGACAGTAAAAATACATTTAGACAATGATAGACAGTAACAGTAATTATTATTATATAATAAAATACATTTTAAAATAAAGATTTCTTATTAATAATTTTTATATTAATAATAAACCATTAATACATTTAATTATAATAATCTTGTCGTGCCGAGCAGGGACGGAATGGAGACAAAGGCGCAGACGTCTGGGTATCGGGGAATATGGGGTTTAATTACAGGTAAGGCAGGCAAAACGCAGACGGACAATACAATGACCGGACTGGGGAAACAAATTGAAATGCGGACGAAATACAGAGGACGATCGGAGCAGGACACATTGTTTTTTTTTTTACTTTACACATTGGATACATTTATTTTCTTACTTTACAAATTACTGTTTTGATAAATGTCCTTAGATGTTTAGTACAGTATATGCTCTTCTTGTTGTATCCAGTTTATTTTGTGTTTAAATGCTAAAAAAAACATATTTAGGTGTAATTTTTTGGGGCCGGATACCAATTAATTGGTTTTCCATTATTTCTTATGGGGAAAATTCGATCAGAACCCAAACTTTTTAGGATTCGATCCGTAGTTCTGAACGGATTAAGTTCGAGTTCTGAGGTACCACTGTATTAGAAATATGGCTATAACTATTTATCAAAAAAGGCACAACACATTATAGCCATGTTTATTATGCATTATGAATGTTCTTTGAAGCTCTCATCTATGACGCACTATAAATACCTTCATAATGCATTATAACGGCAAGTTTCATAGAGCATTCATAATAATTATGGCTAAAATGTGTTATGCCTTTTTATAAACAGTTGTAGCCATGTTTATAATACTTAATAAATGCATCATAATGCATTATGAACAAATATATAATGCATTGTATATGATTGCTTCAAGTAAAGTATTACAAATTACTTTAGTTCAGTGTCTCACATATATGAATTTCTGTATTTTTATGTTTGATGGATGGTTATTCTAAAACCTACCCTTAAATGACTTCTACAGCTAGTTAAATTTAAAGAATTCTTCTTAGGGCATCTTTGTGATGGTAAATGTATTTGAAGTCTACTGCAGATAACATTTTTCATGCCATATGTATGTATGTATCAGCAGGGATACAAAGCGGACTAAAATTCTTCATAACTTTAAACTTCCATCCTATTTCAGATTCCGAAGTACAGGCTGGAACCAGCCTCTGAGCTCCAAGATCTAGGAAGAGCATTAAATAAGTTCTCCGGGACTGGATATAGGCACCACAACTGCAGCTTGGAAAACATCTGGGTCAGAATTCCTGGGCTGGGATGCTGGTCGAAGATAAAGACTCTAGAAATAAATTAAGACTGTTAATGAGCTCCAATCAAGGATGTAGATTTGGATATAGAGATTAGAGACATGTCCCTAACAATACTGTGGAAGTATGGTGTGTGTTTTGGGGGGGGGGGGGCTGGTGGCTGGTTTAGTTCACTGTGGAAACCAGACATACACTCTTGACTCTAGCATTTAAAAAAATCAGGGCTGTGGTACTCAAGTATAGACTTAAGTCCAAATACAGCTGTGGAAAAAAAAAATTAAGTTATGGGTGTGCATCTTTGAGCAATATGCTTTTTTGGTGTTTCTCTGTTTCTCATGAATGAAGGGCTTCTTTCTTGCTTTATAGGACTTCAGTCCGGCTTCTAGGAGTCTGGTACAAACTGTCCTAGCAGTGCACCTCACACCACTTAAAGTTTCCTATTCCACTTCATGTCATCCTGTGATTCATGAGAAACTGTCAGATAAGTTGACAGTCATCTCTGGCATTACAAAGTCTCTTCCACCCTCTACCTGGCTGGTTTCTTGCCGTTCCCAGTGTCTCCTGCTTCACCTTATTCTTGTGTGCTGCTGTCTTAGAAATTTTGAACCTGGAAGCAACCTGCTGCTCAGCGTAGCTTCTGCCAGCAGAACCACGATTAAATTAGAATTTGTAGATTAAACAAATGCAGATTTGTTTAAAAATATAGAGTGGTCTCATTTTTTTTCTACCGCTGTATGAATGGATTCGGTCTTATCACACACTCGTGAAATTTTACTGGTCTTGATTTGGACTCAAATACTTCAGACTCAGAAATCTAAGTCCATAGCGTATGTCTGCAGCCTCAATGTTTTATGACCAACATCTCACACGCACCCATGCAGTTAACTTGCATCCATATCATGTCAGCAATTATCCGGTTTGCATACATAAACCATAAGGAGTTTCTGTGAAAGGCATCCAGTGAAAAGAAGCACGTGGCAGAATGAAAATATCGCAAATCAGTGATTAATGAGAAATTGGCGCGCATTCCACTTTCTACCGACATCTGGAAAGGAAACATTACGACAAACATGCACTGCAAGTGAACTCAGTTTGGCGAGACTAGCTAAGTGTCCAGCCAAAATTTGTCTTACATAGTAAATTAGTGATAGCTACCCAGCTAGCTTGGTGACATCTTATAATAATAATTATTGTCGTACTTTATTAAGAGTGGTAGTGTGATTGATCTGCTGGGAGCAGGAATCAAACCAACAATTTTTTTGACACGAGACTCTTAACCCCTATCATGCATATTTAAGCCATAAAATGCTCACAGTATTTGTGTTTTTTCAAAAACAATGTCATCTGCATTCTTTCTCCTGAAACTATATGTTGTAGTTTGAATACTCCCAGCCTTCATAGATATCAAATGCAATGTGTTACGCAGTAGATCTGCCACTGAACATTGTTTGTGCAGTTTATCTTTACCCAGTGTGTACTTTTAAGAAAATTGCAAAACCTTTGTTAAAAGTTTGCTAAATAAAAAAATAGCCTCGTATTGTTATATATGCAAATTCTTTGATTCCCGAACCAGTTTTAAATGTCTTCAGCTGGATACAGTCATGTTGCAATGAACTTAATAATCACTACAGGATGCACTGACATTGTGTTTCTGTTACCTTTGTGTATGACAAATCAGTTATTTCTTAGTTGTAAATATTTGTTTCTTAGTTGTTGGTTATTTTAAATAAATTATTTGCATATTTGACTTCAATTTATAGTGTTTGAATTCAGATTCATGGTCTACAATTGAACTTGTGTTTTTCCGGACTAGGACTTGACTACCCAGCTCCTGTAATGGACTGTGTCTCATCTCAGCTTTGCCCCCCTGTTGGACTCGGTCCTGACCTAGACCTGATTTGTTACAGACTTGAATAAGGTAGCGTCGGACACAAGAATGAATAGGGCATTCAATTTGTTTTTCCCGTAATGCTTTATTTATTTATTTTTTGTGGTTCAACGTGTTAGTGATCGGTGCCTATGTCTGGAAGGTCACGAGTTCCAATCGTGAGGCAAGGAGAGTAAATCAATGGCAGGCCCTTGTCAGATCATATACATGCACAATTTATGGGAAATTTATAGACACCAGTAAGCCTATCCACATTTCTTTGGACCGCAGGAGGAAACCCAAGTATTTATAGGAGTCCCATGCAACATGGTGAGAACATGCAAACTCCACACACTGACAAGCACATAGCAGACACAGGATTCAAACCCCCAGCCCTGGAGCGATGAGCCCCCATACTCCACGCAGGGGATTACCCAGGATGTCAAGGGAGGGACACAATGTCATAGGAAATGTACACATTTATCTTGGTAATTAACACGTTTTAGAAGGACCATGAATTGGGATTCACAAAACAGGCAGATTATCTGTTGCTTAATTAATTCTTGTTTTATTTCTTATTGCAGTGAAAGACGACAGGAGATAGACACTTGTTTACAAAGTATATTCAACTACCTAAATTCTGTCATGGGCCTTTGGGTTGTATTAGTGCTCTGTTACATTTTTCCCATATCGTTATCATGGCAGATGAGATGATCACTGCTGAATCTCCATCAACTAAATGTAGGCCTGCTTCCGTGAGTTAGTAACCTGTTTTTGTGTTTAGATGAAAAAAGGAGGAAAGTATAAAAAAGAAAAAAATATATGTATTTTTTCACACTAGGTACGACATACAATGAATCTATGTACAAATCTTTTTTTCCCTTTTTTCTGTAAATATTTTTATTGTCTGTTGTTGGGGTTACTTTTAAGCATCAGAAACAGCATAGGTTTAGACCGCTGGGTTTTTCCATTATAGCAGAAAGAGGGGGAATAGGTTTTTGTGGTCACTTTTTTCTAAGATACACCCCTCTGTTTTTTCAGTGCAGAGAGCTGATTTTTGTGCAAAGCATCCACTGCAACAGAAATCCTTATTTCAGCGTTTTAAAATTGATACAAAAAAAAATCCTGCACAAGCTCTGGTCTTGTGCAAACAACAGCGATCTGCCTTCAGATTCGCTGGGGTTCCTTTCAGTGTGACTTACTGTGACAGCACTGAGAAGAAAAACTGATCACGTTCATGGAAGAAGAGTGATTTTAATGAAATCACCGTTGACAGACTGAGAGCGGCGCGGGGAACGAGTAGGTCTACACACTACGATCTGGGGACAGTCCTGATCAAAGCTTACAGAGGAAGATACAATTAGGCTATAATTGTCAGATTTGCTGAAATTTGTGCATCAGCTGTAAATCAAAACAAGCCAGAATGGAAGAGGACATGGATGAGGGACAAACATCCAAAGGTAATGTTATACGAGCTTGTTTACTGAAATAAATTAATTGCACGGTATTTTATTTCTGAATTTAAACATTTTTTGGGTGATCCTAATAAATATTCAAGCCAATAAACATTGTAAGGATGCCATAAAGGGAGATGAAATATCAAAATCATATTACCAATCATATAAATATCGGTATTTATAGCCAAATCATGCGTTGAAAATTGGAATAGAAGAATTTCAGTAGTATCGGCAGGGATCGAATGTTCCATAAAAATATGTTTACTTCTTAATTCTTCATTTATTTTCCATTTTCATGTGATGTTACAATGTATGGTTTTAATATACTGATAATGCAGTTTTAATTCGGAGAGATCATATTTAATTGCGATTTAGTTCGTTCGAGCAGGGTTTTCGTGTGCAATGCAAAACGTTTTTTTTACGTAGCAGGCTTTTTCGTTTATAATACAGACAATTATAAATTTGAATATACATTAAAATATGCATATAGCCTATGTTTCCACGCGTAATACCACTATATATATATATATATATATATATATACACACACACACACATATATATATATATATATATATATGTGTGTGTGTATATATATGTGTGTGTGTGTGTGTGTGTGTGTGTGTATATATATATATATCCGTAATTCTTTCATACGCATACTGAGTGATTGTGAAGGGTTTTGTGGAATTCTGAGCAGAAGCATAGGGGCAGGATAAAATAAGACATTGCAAATGCTACTAATAAAATGAAATGTTTCCTCGGAAACTAATATATGTTTATTGTATTGAATAATCGGCCATGTGTTTTCACAGCCAATAGCTTAATATGCTTGAGCTTAAAATGACAAAAAATGCTTGTTATTCATTTAATTATTGCAGTATATCATTTAAATTTTGCTTACTGCAATGAATTTTGAACTTTACCTAATATGAGTAATTTAAGTATAATGTTATAATATATACCATGATAATATAATATCTGGCCTTGAGGCTTGAATTTGAAACTGTACCATAAATGCCCGTGCAGTTTTTAAGCTCCAGGTCCTCATCATCATTATCTCACTGCTTTTCCTGCTGAAGATGGCAGTGGAGTCATGCCAAGCAGGTCAGAGAAGATCTCTGTTCCATGGCCACAGACTTTAGCATGTTCTGAGGGAATTCCGAAATGCATCCAAGCTAGCAGTAGCTTGTTTTGATTCCTCCCTGCATCCTCCACCTAGTGGGAGGTACCCAGAACAGCTCCGGTGGGCGCCGCCCAGGTGGGCGCCGCCCAGGTGGGCATCCTTACGAGATACTTGAACCACCTCTGCTGACTTCTCTCAATCTAAGGGACGAGCGGCTCTATTTTGACGTTCTTCGGAGTCCAGCAATCTTGCACAGAAACCTCATTTTGGCCACTTATACTCTCAGCCTTGTTATTCTAGCCATTACAGACAGCTCACGATCATAGGTGAGGACAGGGACATTGATTGACTGATAAAGAAGCTTCCGATTATGACTCCAGCTTCCTGAAAGAGGCAATTTACTTTTTTTTTTCTAAGTACCATGGCCTTGGGTTTGTAGGGGCTGATTTTCATCCCAGCCATGTGAATCCATTGCTGGAGTACGTGTGCATGGTGGGATTCCTGGTTGGACGAGACCAAAAACAAAACATCATCTACAAATAGCAGGGATGTCACTTTTAGCCCTCCAAACCAGATGCCCTTCCAGCCATGAGTGTGACTTGAAATCCTTTCCATGAAAATAACAGAAACAAATAGGAGTGGAGAGAACATGCATCCATGCCAGAGGCCAACACCTACCCTGAATGGCTTCGATTTTGTGTGAAGTATGCAGACACAATGCATTCATACTGGAACTAAATAGCATGCTGCAATGGTGCCGGTGCCCCATATTCCTACAGCACTTGCCACAGTAAAAGCCATATTCTCATACATCCATAAATGTCCACAAAGTGCATGTAGACTGCATTAGCATATTCCCATGAATCCTTTCACAGATGTACACAGGGAAAGAGTTGGTCTTCTGTTTCATGGCCAGACCAGAATCTGCATTCCATCTCCTGAATCATAGGTTCAGCCATCTGGTGAAAGCCCTTCTTCAGTATCCTGAAATAGGCCTTCCCTGGGACGCTGGGAAGTGCGATCCCATATTTTTGCAACACACCCTCTGGTCCTTCTTTTTTTAAAAATAGTCCAGAGATATGTTACCTGTATTCCGTACAGCACTGGAGAGGTGCCTCGACCGCGTCACACCAACAACATCCAATGCTTTCAACATCTCTGGAGCTGCAGTGATAGACTCTCATTCCAACAGTGCCTGAAGGAGAGAATAAACATTCACTAGGTTTTGAGGAATTCCTCAAAAGGTTCTTCGCAGTACTCAACAATATCTTCAGTCCTCTGATGCACAAATTTTCTCTTCTTTGAGTGGCTTCACTGCAGTCTCTCTCATCTGTTGGTACCAGTTAGCTGTCTCAGAAGACCCCCTTGTAAGCATTACCCTGGAGTCCTTCCTCATCATCTTGACAGCTTCCATCACTACAGGTATCTACTAGGGTTGTTGTCGTGACAGACATGACTGTCTTCTGGCAACAGCTCTTTGCTTCTTCTACAATTACTGAGGCCTTGAATGCGATCCCATCAGCATCAATGTCCCCACATCAACGCAAAGGAGTTTTTTTGGATGTGAGTTTGCCATGAAATCTACCAACACAGGCTTCAAGCAGACATTCCCAAAAAACTAGTCCATTAGGACTCTTCGTGCACCAAATTCAACTAACCTCCAAGTGATGATTACTTGATTGGCTTGTTCCTGACTTCTCCTGGGCCACACACTCAGCCTTGAATCAAAAGATAGAACAATGAAATTGATAATTTTCATTTAGTCTGGAGTGCTCTGTATATATATATATATATATATATATATATATATATATATATATATATATATATATATATGTATGGTTATGAACATCTCTGCATTTGAGCATGGTTCCAGACCTCACAGTGTGCATGGAGGTAAGTCCGACTATACCCCAGGAGTGCAGGCACCTTCCCAATCCCATGTTCACAATTCAGTCTTCATAGCTAAAGGTTAATCCATCTGAGTTTTTTCCTGCTCAAGTCTGTTACCCAAATGGCACTGTACTTGAAACTCACCTTTCATCATGTGGTTGGACGAGCCCAAATATATATATATATGTATATATATCGCTGCACCCGGGAGCCGAGTGTCGAGTGGGAGGGGCAATGTTGAGTAGGAGGGGTAGTGTCGAATAGGAGGGGTTTATCACAAGGGGTAGGGTATCAGATAATAACAGTTATAAACCTCTCTCACATTGTGCCTCCTACTCAATATTGCCCCTCCTGCTCAACATTGCCCATCCAACTCAACATTGCCCATCCCACTCGACATTCAGTTCCTGGCTGCAGTGAAATGCCTGTCCAAAAAAAGGATCCACATAGCCATTTTGGGGTGTGTCTTGCTGATACTACATGGAAAGCTCAATCTCTAGAAGTTGGTGAATACCACCTTCATGCCTGTGTCAAAGGCTGGGTCTTTGTAGCCCTATTTCAGACGGTATACACTGGTCCTTCTTGGAATCTTTCATAGTACAGGGGAATTAAATGAGTTTTACAATATTCTTTTAATAAATTAGCAGTTTAGTTTTGGGGGAGAGTAGTACCATGAAAGTTAAAATGGTTAAGCCATCCAGATTAGGAACATGTTGCAATAAACAAGCAAAGACAATCAACGGAACTAGTGTTTTTTTTCCAGTTTTTTGGATTCCAGATGGTTGCTTTAGGCTTCTGTTTTATAGTGTTTCCTTGAAGTCCCGTTCATTTTTCTCACATATAAGAGATGCAATTTTGAAGAATCATTGAAAGTGATATATTCTGACCGTATTTATGCCTGTAGAATTTCTGTAATGTTTCATGGTGTAGGTTGGTACTAACAAATAAAATAATCATATAATCCTATCACATTATTATAATTACTACTACTACTAGTTCTTTTTCCTTCCTATAGTCCCCAGTTGCTATTTTACGTTAATAGAAAAGAAAAGATTTGTGTTGATTTTTATGGCTGCCTTACTCCTTATTGAAGTGCAGGTCCCAGTATAATCAATAAGGTATAATATTATGTATTAAAGCATTGTAAGCTGTTTTTAGAATGTTGTATTTGATATTTGAAACAAAATATTATGTTATGTAAGCAGCATTATTGCTGAAATTTCATATCCTATGAAATCCTATATTTATCTTTTCAAAAGTGTTTGGAGAGATGTTTGGAAATATATGTACAATCATTGGTGTATATATTTATCTCACACTATGGTCTTGTTAAGATATAATTCCTAATGTCCCCATATTACAGCTTTATTCTTGTAATGTGTCTCATTCACATTTATCTTGTTACATCAGTTGGCATACAGTATTTGGGTCACTACACTCAAGTTCTCAAGTCTATTCTCAGAATTTGCACATCGGTTGGCATAGCAACCAAAGTGGTCCATTAAATAGGCAGAGATAGTTGGTGTTGAGTTTGAAATCTGAAAGGTGACTGTATGGTTGGAAATGTGTTTTATGTCACAACACATTTAACTTTATATACAGTAGTAAATTTGAGGGAAATGTGTTTTATGTCACAACACGTTTAACTTTATATAGTGAATTTGAGGGAAATGTGTTTTATGTTGCAACACATTTAACTTTATATAGTGAATTTGAGGGAAATGTGTTTTATGTCGCAACACGTTTAACTTTATATAGTGAATTTGAGGGAAATGTGTTTTATGTCGCAACACGTTTAACTTTATATAGCGAATTTGAGGGAAATGTTTTTTATGTCGCAAAACATTTAACTTTATATAGTGAATTTTAGGGAAATGTTTTTTTATGTCGCAACACGTTTAACTTTATATAGTGAATTTGAGGGAAATGTGTTTTATGTCGCAAAACATTTAACTTTATATAGTGAATTTGAGGGAAATGTGTTTTATGTTGCAACATGTTTAACTTTATATAGTGAATTTGAGGGAAATGTATTTTATGTTGCAAAATATTTATGTTTAAATTACTTTTGATGTAACATAGTCAGCTGCGAGACGAGCTGCTCTGGGCCCGCCCCATTGGGCGGAGGACATGCAGAGGACCCGGAACACACTAGCTAGCCTGGTAGCATTATTTTTGATACTGTGTGGATTAACAGTAAGGCCAGTCCATTTCTTTCTCATTGTTCATTATGCCGACAGATGGACAGTCGAAGTGGTAAAGGGGGGGCAGGGGTGGGTCTTTGTAATCTGAGAGAAGCCTTCTGTTCCTCTATAAAGATTATTTATTTATTTACTTACTTTTTATTACAGTTTATTCTGTTTCACCGTGACTGTTGGTCAGAGTGTAATTTTTTTTTCTAAAACTAACAAAATCTCAGGCTTGTCAGTTATTATGGTTAAGTCACAGTTATTATAGCTAAGTCACAGTTATTATAGCTCACTATTTTAATTTGCTGGTTAAGCCTGTAATCACATTTTATCACTCTTTTCCAGTTCTTCCATTAAGATAAGACTTCAATTGAGTAGTAATGCATGCATGTAGCTTTAATATTAACAATGTATAAACCCTAATAACAATGTAATTGATGTAGAGATGTCACTTTTGCTATAATGAAATCAGAAAAACTTGAAAAAGAAAACAAGCAACTTGAGGATCCCTTTCTTGTTGTGACACGTTTTAGACATGCAGTCTGTACACACATGCAGTCTGTAGACACATGCAGTCTGTACACACATGCAGTCTGTAGACAAGATGGTGTGTTGCTGCGTGATTATACAATATACATTAGGAACACTGAAGTGATTTTCTTAAGGAAGGTAATGCAAATGCAGTTATAATTTAAAACACTGGTACCTCTAAGTATTCTCTTCTGTCACTGAATTATGCATGAATTATGCAAGTGTATCCTCAATCAAGTCACCATTTTTCATTTTCAATAATTAAATTATGGAAATGTTGCTGAAATAATTTGCTAGTAAATTATACCCGACTTTATGCTTGTGTCCAACTGTGCTGCATGATGTGTGTTTGGAGTTATTTCAGAACATGGTGACTTGCATACAACTTGTCTAACAGAAAAATAATGAAAGTATTTGAAATGCACATTGAAATACAAATAATCAAATAAATCATCTTTCATACTGACCAGGGAACATCAAAATGTGCGTGAATCTATCTATCTATCTATCTATCTATCTATCTATCTATCTATCTATCTATCTATCTATGTAGCTCAGCTGTTGTGTGGTTATAGTATAACTGTTGTTCATTTTTATGTAAAAATGTATATTTCATCACTCTGCTGCATTTTTACAGAGGTTTATATTATCATACATTTCCAGAAGTTTCAGAGTTTTGTGCCCTGGGATGGACTGGCATCCCATCCAGGGTGTATCCTGGCCTTATGCCCTGTGCTGCCAGACCCCCCAGATCCAGATCAGAATAAGAGGTTAGAAGATGGATGGATGGGTGGGTGGGTGGGAGGAATGGATGGATTTGATGGATGGATTAAACCATTTTTAAATACAGTCTGTTACAGTGATGCTTTTATAGGTTTTTGGTTCAGAAACCCCATCAGCAACATCCATCGAAGCAAAGAAATCTAGGCTGAGACCCTTCTGGACTGAGATGGTCCATTTGGGTACGAAAACACATTATAGTAATAAACTGTGCAGACATATTAACCTGATCTGGGTGTTTGCAGACAGCTTGGAGGGAAATGCAGGGGGATTCCAGATAGAGGTAATCTGTGCGCTCATGCAGATGCCTCAGAATGAATGGATGCAGCTCCGCTTATAGCTATGACAGAGGTACTTGTCATTCCGGTCAGGCTCTGCCAGAAGCAGCGGCAGAGCTGAAAGAACAGTGCTGAACAGCTGCGAGCTGCCTTATCTCTAACGAGAAGGGAGAGCAAACAAGGAGTAAACGCAGCTGCCCCTCTACCAGACATTCTTAATCCAGATCATAGTACCGATACAAAAAGGAAACAGACTATGTGTACATATGTTCATTGTGCATTGAGCACACTGTCAGCCTCTTAGGGTTTGCACGTATATTGTGATTCAACAGGAAAACACTTGTTTCTTATACAGGATCTATCCGACTGTAAATCCAAATTCTGCGGACAAAATAAAAGAATAAGAAAAAACCCTGGATTACAATGAACCAGGCTGGGTAAGCAGCTTTAAAATCAGTTCGGGGAAAAGAGAAAAGAGTGTGAATAAATATGTTTGTAAGACATTCATGAGAAATATTTGAGAGGAGTATTCCAATGCCGCTTTGCAGTCAACGGCACACAGCAAACTCACAGAAGCCATGTCCGTGTGCACAGTGTCCGCACTCCCTGCCACTGTGACTGCAGCCCCTCATGTCCCCTCTACCTGTAACCGCCATTCGTGACATTCCTCTTGTTGTCCCTCCTGCCCCCCCTTGATGTCCCCTATCAGCGGCATTGTTTGCATCACTGCCTCCCGCTATTTTCTCAGCGACCACGGCGCCCCTCCCCCCACCGTTGGAAGGTATGCTTGTTTCTCCTTTCACATCTACCTCTCGGCTCTCCCTGGCGCGCCGCCCGCTGCCTCCCATGCCCATGCCGCGCCCGCTGAGGACGTCAGTCCTTCCTCAGCCGTTCTGGGACGGGCTCCCGCTGTTTCGCCCAGCTGTCCACCTGTGCCGGCTCTTCCTCCGGCAGCGTTTCCTGTGAGCTTCGTTAGTTCTCCCCCTGTCCGGATTTTTCCATGACCCCTGCTGAGGCGACTTTGTTTCTTGGCCAGGTGCCAAAGCCTCCTCCCTTTTTCCTGCACCTTTCACCCACTTCTAAGTTCTCCTCCTTCATCTCCTTGCCCCCCTCTTCATGCCAGCCAAGGTTAATCTCTAAAACCTCACTCGGTCCCCGTCGCTCTTTTCTCCTGCCAGCCTGGCTCATGTCTTCAGGCTTCTAATGCTCCTATCATCTAAGCAGCTTCCACCCTAGAGTCTCTACATCCCTTTTTTGCTTCCCCTTTTTGTCTGTCATGCCTTCAGACACACAGGAATATCTGTTGGATCCAAGTTTTCCTTCTTGTGCCACCATCCTGCAGCAGTTGTCTTTGGAGGGGCACCTCTGTCTACTGTGACCGGTGAACATCTACACTGCCAGCCTCATTCACCCATGTACCTGTTATCTAATAGGTATTGATCAGAATGCCATGATACATTACAATAAACACAAAGCAGAGTCATCTATTCTACATCTTTAAACCCACTCCACCTCTTAACACTTTCTTAATCGTCTGGTAACCCAGCCAAGAATTGCATATCACAGTCAGTGGTTATTCTGGCTAGATGAGACTGCAACACTCATCTTCACATATCTCTGGTCCCCATTTCGGGCCCAAAATATTATATACCAGTAGCTTTACACTTGACATACACAAAACATTTTGCACTGATATTGTAATCCTTTCTTTGTAAAATTTTGCAGTAGTTGCTGTTAATCTGATGATGACAAGCATGATCCTTCCAGGGATTCCAAGTCAAGAGAACAACAATCACTGGAACAAAATAAATAAACTGACGCTGAAGTTTGGTGTCTCGTGGCATCGGAATTGGCTCATAAGATGATCAATATAACTGTCTAGACAGACAATAAATACAATACAATATAACAAGACATTTTCAATAATCTATAGTCTTGCATTTTGGGGAGTGAAGATGTTTGGCTTTGTGGTGCTTTATTAAAATAAGGGTGATAATTGTGAAAACCATAAAAGTGGATGTTACCAGTTTTGCCATCTTTAATCTGATGTAAATCTGGTGAAATGACACGTACATCAACAAGCTAGCTAGCACGTTCGGCTAACTAGCAGCGCCAACAAACACATTATCAGTAGCTTTTTCTATGTGCAGCTTTGTTAAGGAGCAAAACCATTTACTGATATTACTGTATTATCGTTAAAGTCACTATTAAACCACTAGCAGTGATTATCTTCATTCTACTGGGAAATCGTACTGTTCCTGTGAATTATCGCTCTGAGAATAATTGACCATCATTCTCTCTTGATTTTTTTAGGCTGCTTTGAGTGCTGCATCAAATGCTTGGGCGGCATCCCGTATCCGTCGCTGATCGCCACCATCCTGCTCTACGCCGGCGTGGCGCTCTTCTGCGGCTGCGGCCATGAGGCGCTCTCTGGCACCGTCACCATCCTGCAGAATTACTTTGAAGTCGTTAGAGGCCCTATTGACTCCTTGGATGTCTTTGCCATGTGAGTATCTGAGGCTGCTTCACTTCATTTTCGAATCCTTGGGTGTTTGTCTTCACAGTATCATGTCCCCTATTTCTATTTTTTCAAACTCAAGATATTATGCTGTGCAAGATCGATCTTTTTTATGGGTCCTATAAATAATATTGGCAACACTTTCTATGAATGCCATGCCTGTAAGAGTATGAACACACTCATAACTCATCATAATGCATTTATGAAGCATCAGAAACATGACTATAAATATATATAAAGACGTGTGACACGTTATAGCCATGATTATTATGCATTATGACTGCCGTATGAAGCTCTCATCTATAATGTGCTATACATATCTTCATAATCAGTACAAACCATCCTTAATTATGTATCTATAATGTATTATACATGAGTGCTTCATTGGAGCTTTTGAAGTACTACAATCAACAGTATAATGCCTTGTGATTGTCAATGGAAGATGTTGTAATGCTTTAATTAAGGTTAATTCTTATACCAACCATTATAATGTATTATTAATGTATCTATAATGCATTATAGATGACAACTTTAAGTACAATGTTACCATAATAACTTCATTCTACTTTAGCACGCTTGTATTTACACACACACACACACACACACACACACACACACACACACACACACACATATATGCTGAAAACTCCAGTTGCTTGTCAGTTATCTTACAGTCAGCAGATATTGATTACGATTTGTTATCGATATCAGAAAATTATAATTTTTTCATGGATTTTGTGTGCAGTGCATTTGATATTTTGTATATCTCACATTCTGTATTTTAAGGCAATTTATGCTTATTTTATTTAGTAGAATATAAAATACACAACAAGGGCAATAGATTTTTATATTTTACACAAGGTATTTTTTCTGTAAACACTGGAAGATTAAAACACATTGTAATACGCAAAACCAGACACAAGTACCAAAAGGGTGCTTTCCAGGACAACTGGAAATTATGACTAAAACTGGGATTAGCCAGCATGTGCCTTGAGAACTGCTTCACAAACACTTTACAGGGTTTTCATTTAGCACGTTCCCGCAGGAGATCACCTGGCATGACTTCCCACCTCTTCTGCACACCATTCCTAGAGATGAATGGTAACCGTGGGTCACCGTTTTTTGCTAATTTCCTCTTTTGTCCAGTTTATATGGATGGCTCAGTAGGTAGCACCATGTAGAGCTTGCATGTTCTCCCCATGTCACGGCAAATCCCCAGGGATACGTCCGTTTCCTCACATTGACATGCAGTCTGTTGTGTTTTGGGTCATTGAATATTGAGGGACTGGCCAATCAGCTGTAATCCTGATGGAGCTCTACGCCTCCGCGGTCTTAGAGCTAAGCTGCTTAAGATTACCTTGGAATTGGTAAAGATCAACTATGCCATCCAGCAAAGCAATCCTCCATGCTTCACCTTGAAAAACATACATGCACAACTCAAGCCCATATCCACTCTACGTCTTACAAATGCATGGCAGTTGGACCCAAAATTTTTCATTACTCATTCCATAAGACACCCTTCCATTCTTGTTAATTGACAAATGTAAATAGTTTAAAGGAAAAATTATTATAATCTCAAGCAGGTGTACACAGATTTTTGACTGGTACTATACATTGGGAACCCATTCCCTTTCCAATATCAAGTGGAAAATGCATAAAAATTGTATTCTATTGTAATTATTCTTTGGAAAAACAGTACCTTTTAAATAAATAATTGTAAATTGACACCTCTGATGCTGTAGTAAACATTAATTTGTTGAACTCCTTTACAGGATTGACATAATAAAATACGTGATTTACGGTATCGCGTCTGCCTTCTTCGTGTACGGGATTCTGCTGATGGTGGAGGGCTTCTTCACTACCGGGGCCCTCAGGGATCTGTACGGCGACTTCAAGATCACGACCTGCGGGCGCTGTGTTAGTGCCTTGGTAGGTGGAACGGGAACTGGCTCTGTGAAAATGCTATTCGGCGATAAAAACCATACAGATGCTTCCCGGGTCGCAATGGCCCGTTTTACGATATTTCAACTTTACGATGGGTATGATTATTCAATAACTTACATGACATATTCAACACTTTATTATAAAATAGGCTTTTTGTTAATGATTTTGCCCAACTGTATGTTAATGTAAGTGTTTAAAGCATGTTTAAGATAGGCTAGGCTATTATGTTTGTCAGGTTAGGTGTACTGTATTAAAATGCATTTTCGCCGTACGATATTTGCGCATTATGATAGGTTTATCGGAACGTAACCCCATTGTAACCCGGGGAGCATCTGTATTTATTCATGCCTGGAAATTAGCTGTGGCATTCTCAGTCTGCTTAGTCGTGTTAGCAAAGTCATAAAATTTACATTAAAGGTTAAGAAAGGTGCTTCTATTAACGACTGTACATAAAACAAATAATACATAATTAGCAATTAGTACTCCTACAGTGGGCCTAATGAAAATGAAGACAAACGTGTTAGAGTGTGATGACGCGGTATCTGTGTCCCCTGTACAGTTCATCATGCTGACATATATCTTCATGCTGGCCTGGCTGGGAGTGACTGCCTTTACGTCACTGCCAGTCTTCATGTACTTCAACGTCTGGAATATCTGCCAGAACACGACCGCCGTTGACAACTTGTGCTTAGATCTCCGTCAGTTTGGTGTGTTTTGTAGCCTTTGGATGTTTTACACGCCTTTCCTTTTTAATTAAGAGTACCTATCAAACACAAAATGGTGCCTTTTGTAGCAGCCAGTAACTTCCGTTAATGAAATAACTGGCCAATAATGCAATAGCTTATTACATTATGCGCAACAAGTAATAATGTTTTTGATTTGGAAATGTTATTACATTATTGGTAAGTCATTACATTATCGACTTTTACTACATTAAGAATGTAAAAAATATTACGTTATTGGCAAATATTTCATTAACGGTAGTTATTACATTATTGGCTGCTACAGCTCCTTCTCCCTAGCTAAAAGGTTAAATACCTACGCACATACAAATGAATCGACTGAAACAGAAAGTAATTTCGGACAAAAAAAAGACAATTATCTAAAATTCAGAGGAATTAGCTTGGTCGCACAGTGATTTGACAAGGTATATTTAGATTGGACGTATTTCTTCATTGTGGTTTGTATTTTGTTATACATTTTCAAATATTTTAAAGCAAGTTTATGTATATTAGCTTAGGTGCCTGAATTTCACCAATGAAATGTGTGTGTTGACATATTTAGAATTATGAAGTTATCCAAACTTTAAGGAATTTACAGTTCTTTGATTTTTTTAACATCAGGAATGATAAACATCAGAGAGGAAAAGAAAGTGTGTTCTGGATCGGAGAAATTCTTCAAGATGTGCGAATCGAACGAGGTTAATACGAAGAATGGCACTTCAATATATATCTCATTGTATCTCAATATATATCTCATTCATTTGGCAACTTTCCTGTTCCACCTCATATACATATACATATACATACAAGTGCGAACCACACGGCATTATCATACAGCACACAAGCATCTTCATTTCCTAACTGCTGATGAATGCTAATGCTATTTATACTGAACCGTTTTAATAAAAGAGGAATCTAGCTTTGCATTTTAATGCACATATCAAGGCCTTTCCTACTGTTCAGTGTCTTTCCCTGACCCCATCAAAGAGACTTAATATATTTTAAAAGATGGAAATTTTATAAATCACAATTAATTGAACCTCGGTATCATTTTTAAGTTATTTTACAATTTTCATTTGGAGGAAAACTCCATCCTGTTAAGCACAGAACACGATGGAGCTTACGTTAAGCATTCCTCAGTGAGGGATCAGGACTAAAATTTTGATTATTGTAATTTTCTATAGTTTTACCCACTAGGGTGGAATGAAGCTCATTGCCATTATTTCAAATTTCAAGATACTGAGCTTTATTGTGTTCCTTTGCCATCATAAATGGCATCACTCCCTGGAGGATAATGTCATATAAAGATAGATATTGTTATTTAAAGGGGCATTAGAGCAGACGAATAGATTGGAAAGCAATGCAGTGGGCATAGAGAAAACCTCTAAATCCATTATCTACTAAAGCAGCACTCTTACAATAAAATGTTTAGCATTTAATTATGCAATGGAAAAAATATATCTTGAAAATGTTATATGAGGTGTTTTTTGTGACTTCAGGATAAAAGAAAAGTAGTTAATTTGCATTTTTTTAAAGCTTTTAAATTTGCCATATATTAGGACACATTTGATGATGACAGGGTAAAAAGTTCATAGTAGGAATCATCCGTAAGTGAAACTATTTAAACTATTTACTTAGGCGTGTAAATCATGCTCTGGTGTGTAACCTGCTTTTTCTATTTTTGTACATATCAATGAAACTCCTGATTATAGCCAGTTTTTCCACCATATTATTGAGCCTCATCACGATTTCAATGCTTTTCAGCTGGACCTGACATTCCACCTGTTTGTGTGCGCTCTTGCGGGAGCCGGAGCCGTGGTGATCGCCTTGGTGAGCGGTCAAAAGCCATTTCACGTTAACGTGCTGTTAGCTGAAAGACCATATTAGCTATCCATCCCTGCGACTACTCTCAAATACCTCGGAAGATAAAGAGACCGGAGGGTTCATTAACAAAATCTGACATTTGTTAATGCCAGTACCAATAGTCAAAAGGAAATGTTACTGTCTTATAATCAAAATCTTTCAATTTCTGTGTCTCCAGTGTTTACCATGGAGTGATCTATACAGAAATGCTATGAGTATTGTATTGTTTATGAATAAATGATATTTATTTAATATATATATAATGTATTGCATTATACTACTATATAAATACCAATGACAAACCATTGCAGTTATAGTTGAATAACCCTTCACTTGATTAATGTAAATATTAATATTTAGAGCATATGCTACAAAAACAAAATTTCTGATTGTAATGAATCAGAAATCATAAATTCAAATGGTGTGATGTTATGAAACCACTGACTTTACTGCATGACCAAAAGCTTGCAAGTTTAAATTGCATGAGTACTGCTCTTATAGTACAGCTGCACAGTCTCTGAAGAATAACTACATCTATTCTGCATGAAGAATTATTTTAGTAAAAACTAGCATTTTGCTCATCATCTAGTGTAAGGTCTGGTGTACATACTATAGCATTACGTAAATGGCTCTTTTGATTTCGGTGGAGAAGAATGCTTCCGGATATTCTAACGCAACACCATGACATACATCTCATTTGCAGAGAGATACTTGCGCTTTGCAAATGCTTGGAGTATGGTTGCCATAGGAACTGAGAATGTGAACGTGAGAGGCCATTTTCTAAGACAGCATGCTGGAGGATAATGGCGTCAAGTGCAATGAGATTATGTTTACTACTAAAACCATTACCAAAGCAATGATAAAACTGAGATTCTAGAATATCGTCCAGTTAATTGATTGGCGATATTTTGTAACCATAATGCGATGTGTTCTAGCTTGTTAACATTGCAGATACAATAACTGAAGATTAAATGGAAGTCTTACACCTGTAAGTTTAGACTTAAATTTGTGCTGCCAGGAGGACATGCTATTATAAAACATTAATTTAAAAAAATATATACATGTAATGGCCTCACAAAGCATATTTGTGTACCAAAAAAGACTAGGTCCTATGACCGCAGACTTCATTTGCTCTTGGGCTCCACCTGCTGGTAGCGCGTGAAGACACATACTGTAGGCTCCTATAAAAAACATCAGTAATGTTAGAAAACTACATTTTCAAAATGGAAAGAGAAGGCAAAAAAAAAAACAAACGATGAATTGTTCATGATTGTTAACTTAGTTTTATCTACCATGCACTATAATATATATCGATGTGTTTTTTTTAATAGATTCACTACTTGATGGTTCTCTCGTCTAACTGGGCCTACGTGAAAGATGCATGCAAGATGCAGAAGTACGAGGACATCAAGTCCAAGGAGGAGCAGGAGCTGCATGACATCCATTCCACCCGTTCCAAAGAGCGCCTGAATGCTTACACATAAAACACACGCGTGTCCAGCTTTGCACCCTTTCTGAGGAGGGGGGGGGGGAGGCTCACTTCTGCTGTGTGTACGGACAGGTCGCAACAAGGTGGTGAGGTATCCTCTGGTGGCATTGCTCATAACAACCCTGTACCTCCTCCTGGGACTGGAGTTTTTTCCTCTGTTTGTCGCTAATGCTTGTTTTTTTTTAAATTTATTTAGGGAAATCAGTTCATAATGTGGCTCCCTATGTTATGTTAAGTCAGCAATCCGTAAATAATGTAAAATATTTGAAATATTCAGATTACATCGTATAATAATTATGATTATTTACATATAATGAGACCATTAAATAGTTTATTTATTCACTCATTCATGATTCATTCAAATCCATAATGATAATTCTGGGTTAAAACAGTTACTTCTTCACCATAATTGTCACACTAGCTTTATATTTTATTTTATTTTTATAAAGTGCATAAAATATAGAGTACAACACAAATACAGACAGACAGACACACACACATATTTTTGTTAGAAAATGAAATGTAATGAGAATCATTTTTGAAATCACAGGGGCATTGTCAAAATTTCTTCATGACGTGGATTAAAATAACATTTTGCATGGTTTTCTCATTGAGCCAGACCAAATTTGCATTTTGATAAACACAACAAGCACAGTTTTTAATAATTTAATTTAATGGTTTAACGGATTAAATATTCTAGATTTTTTTTTATTTTGTATAATGGGAACAATTAAATATTCTAGCTGTTGAATGTATGTGCTGTTCAAAGGAATGTCTTTTCTCTTATATATTTTCCCAAAAATTTACATACGTCAATGTTTTGGTAACATGCCGACCAAATAACAATCACCAAACAGCTAAAGAGAATTCCACTTTTGAACAAAACTGTTTACTATAACGGCATTACACAAATGGTATTGCTGATTACAAACTGAACACATGATGTTTGGGATTTTTTTTTGCCTAATCATGGTGTCTCAGTGTTGTGTCATTTACTGCCTGGAAATTCTCATTTGGTCAGTTTCCAAAAGCTGATTTTGTGAACTTGTTCAACTGTTGTAATCTATCTTGGTGTTGAGTGCAATGCTACTCAGTTCAGAAATGAGTACTCTGTTATGTTGCTAGTAATACAGTATTGGTTTTGAAAGCCCTTAAACAAGCATATAAAATATAGTTGTTATCTGTGATATGGTTATGCATTAAATGGTAATTGTTTTACTGAACTGAAATGTTCTTTTTTATTTTTACTTGAAATTATGTGTGCAGTAAAGCAGTTAATACACAAACAGTGTTATACAAAGCCTCTTACTGATTATTAATAAAGTGTAGTCTTTTACTTGTGATTGTGTAGTGTGTAGTGTTTTCTTTCTTTTTAAAACTGTCATTATAGTGTTACAAAGTCGTTATTTTTACTTCCTTTATTCATCTTTTGTACTTTAACATGGACTGTCTTGTAGCCAGCTTTTCATGGAAATTTGATTTGTACATACATGATATACCAAGAGCCTGACAATGTTGTGTTTTTGATGTACAAATAAATTGCTTGCAAAATAAAGTATATGTGTACTTGCTATTATTAATAAGGAATTATTTCTTATTGTCCCACTTATTTATTCCATATAACAAAGATTTATTCATTCATTCATTTCATTATAATGCCTTACAAAAATATTCATAATAGGCAGACACAGATTTCATGTATGGATGTATGTATGTATGTATACCTCTATCTTCCATAGCTACTTATCCAGTAAAGGATCCAGTGAGATGAAGTACAAGGCCAAAAACTCCATGACACAAATTTATCGTTTGGCAACCCCAGGCATCAAGATCATAAGATAAACACAACCAGCAAGCACAAACTCACTCACATTACTGATGGCCTCTGCTCACCGTCTTGGCTGTCCCCACTGCTTGAACAACACACGCTATATACGACATATAACATCAAACACTATACATGATACTACAAAACAATACAATTACAACACAACAGACATTGGTTATACACAACTAAATTAAATGAACAAAGACAGGACTGTTTACAAGGCTCGCAGAGCATGCTGGGAAATGCTAATGAATTCCACTAAGCAGAGACTTCTTGTCAGCACTCCAATATGTTAATTTGATGTTTTTTTTGGAATGCACAAGGACATCTGCACAACCATTGGGGGAACATGGAAACTATACACTCACAGATGTATGGTTCTCCTACCCTGGATTATGAATCCCCTAGAGCCAATATCCATCCATCCATCCATCATTGTTTGATACCTGCTTATGCTAAGCAGTATAGATAATGCATGGCTGGACAGAGTCAAGATACCTCCCCCATATATGTGTACAGAGGAGGGGAAAGGGTAAAGACTGCAGAGCGTGATCAATTAGGATCGTCTGTGGGAGGTTAGAGTGGTATCAATGGGCATACAAATGGGCTCTTATTACTCCTGCAAAAGAACTTTTCAACATGAAACAAAAACAATGATGTACATTTTTGCATGCATTTGCTATCAAATTTATCCAACATGCAACTGTAAATACCACTCAATAGGGAGTTTATGAAACTCCAAGTTATATTCTACTGTAGGGAGGGATAAAATCCAGAAGCAGCAGTGATGCTAATGATTGTTGGTGCTGCCACCTAGTGGAAGGTGCTGGCATGCCCCTGAAGGCCTAACTTGAAAGGACACTACAGAATGATGCAATGAGTGGTGTAAGGCTTCAAAGGAGCAAAGTGACACATCTGGGTTTTCTGTCTTTTCTGAAGGAAGACCAGCACCATGGACAGCAGCCTTTGAAACTCAGACTACAATATCTGACGTATGTTAAAACCACAGTGTCAACATGGAGCTCTTAAAAGACAGCACAGCCATCAACCTGGATACTAACCTGTGGGATAATTAAATGTAATATTGTCTTTGGCATTGTCTGTCTTTGGCTTTGGAAAAATGTAGCAGAACTTGACCCTGTCATGGCCACGTTTTGTTAAAACCCAGCCAACCAGAAAATTGACCTACATTCTTCTTGTCTTCACTTATGCACTACAATCCCACAGTAGCTGCAGCAGCATACGTATATTCAAACCTAAATTAAGGGTGGACAAGTGTATCTATGCAAACCGAAAAACTACCAGACCAAATCACATCATATGTAGGAAGAACTACAACATTGTAATGTATATGTATAAACTTATAAACATCTTTATCTATTGACTGTCTTACAATGTGGGATGAAAAACTCAAGGGCAGGCGCACTGAGCTAACAAAAGGGATTTATTAAGTAAAAGGAGAAGAGACTTGTAAGTAACTGGATCACAGGGGAGACGGGAAAACGGAAGGATTGGAATATAGGGAGGGCACAAGCAATACATGAGTTTGATGTCAATAACAAGACTGGGGAACACATGACTGGGAAGCACCTAAATACATGACTGACAAGGGAGCTAAGAAGAGGCAGCTGGGGATGATTAACACAAGAGGTAAGACAAACAAGCAACAGGCGTGCCCTGTTTGGGTCCCGCTATGGATCAGGTGGACATGGCAAGTCAGTGATCCATTTTATCCAAAAATGACAAAAAAATTACAGATTGCAATAAACAAACAAAAAAAAAACTCAGATGCCATCATCTTGGCCTGTGAATAATTTAATGTGCCTATATTTAATACAGTACATAGTTTTATTAAAAATGCAAACATTTTAATATTAGTGTGTTCTAACAATAGAATGGCATTATTCTACATGCAGGAGATATGTCAACACAATAAGCTGTCAGATATTAATTACAATTTTTATTGTACTTACCTGTATATGTAAAATATGTAGACAAAGAATGAGTATGGGATTAGGCGTGCATCTGATCAACAATTGTGCAGCTGAGTAAGGTGGTAAAATGCGCTTCAGGGAATGCAAGGGCACTAAAGCTGCAGGGCATTTTTGTTAATACGAGATGTGCAGCATGGGGCAGCAGCATGTAATGGGGCTCCTCACCAGAATAAAAGCAGCCCCATTCCGTGTCACATTCGAAATGGGCACTTGCACTTGGACCTTAAGTTAATGGGAGATCATTCATCTGCAGCCGGAGCTGCCTGCGGCAAACGCAGCCGCAGCTCTCCCCGTAACAGTAACGGATGTTTGTTTCACTACTGTTGACTAAACCCAAAAACCAGCCATGGGAAATTCTACTCCTTAAAGCTGCATATATTTTAGCTGAGTTCACCTTCATCTCCCATTTTCAATGAAGGGTTTAAAAATATCTTTAGAAAGTGTAACACGAGAACCTGCCGACGCTGCAGTTCAGAAACATTCAATCCTGTATATGCATGATTGTAAATAAAGCATGAGATATTTACAGCTCAAATATTTACAAAAATTGTTTTTAGAGGTTAAATCTTGACATATTGGCAGATGATGCAATATGGCATAAATTACAATGGTACAAGTTGAAAGGCCAGCTGAATTGTCATTTTTTTACATTTTTAGCAAATTAATGGAAACACCAGGCCTGACATTATGATAACCGGAATTCCCAGAGTGACAGGGATGACAGGACACACTGCACATCTTCGCCTAGACACTATGAAGTCTTACCTCTGAAGTTTCCCAGTATTGTTTTGCTCTTGATTGGCATTGTTATATTAGTGAAGCACATTACATCATATACATGCATGATACCAGGCATCATATACATCATATACCATACACAGATTTGGGTAATTCTGGTCCAGAGAGTAAAAGTCCAGACTGGGATTTTGTTTCAACTAACCAGTTAAGTACTCTGTGACTGTGACTCTTTATGCTCTTTATCCAACTGTTTGTTTGAAACAAAACCATATGAAATAATCAATGAATTCATAATTTTTTCCCTAATGTATACTTGTAAATTTAACAAAAAAGGGTTAGGGTTATCATATTAAAGTTCTTTTAAATTAAGCAGTGAAGTACATAATTTCAGAAGCACCGTGAAAGGCTCTAAGGCAGAGTCATTTTACATGGTTGTCCTCGGGGCCGAATACAGGTAAGGGCAGAGTCATTCTACATGGTCGTCCTCGGGGCCAGATACAGGTAAGGGCAGAGTCATTCTACATGGTCGTCCTCGAGGCCGGANAGGGCAGAGTCATTCTACATGGTCGTCCTCGGGGCCAGATACAGGTAAGGGCAGAGTCATTCTACATGGTCGTCCTCGGGGCCAGATACAGGTAAAGGCAGAGTCATTCTACATGGTTGTCCTCGGGGCCGGATACAGGTAAAGGCAGAAACATTCTACATGGTCGTCCTCGGGGCCAGATACAGGTAAAGGCAGAGTCATTCTACATGGTCGCCCTCGGGGCCAGATACAGGTAAGGGCAGAGTCATTCTACATGGTCGTCCTCGGGGCCGGATACAGGTAAAGGCAGAGTCATTCTACATGGTCGTCCTCGGGGGCAGATACAGGTAAGGGCAGAGTCATTCTACATGGTCGTCCTCGGGGCCNGGCAGAGTCATTCTACATGGTCGTCCTCGGGGGCAGATACAGGTAAGGGCAGAGTCATTCTACATGGTCGTCCTCGGGGCCGGATACAGGTAAAGACAAAATAAGCAGCCGCCTAGTTCCTGAGGGAGAAACCAACCCAAGGCCAACCCCCCCCAACCCGCGGAGAAATCTATCGTAGGGCTGGTTTGATAAGCTGATACTACCCCCAACCCCCTGCTCACAGGAAAACAATGATTATTCTGTTCCACCACTGTGTTGACATTTTGCTATAAGTACCATGTCGTCTGACTGACTGAGCTGTTAGGAGGTACTGTAGCTGACAAGCCTCCAGTCTTTCGCTTATTAACTCTATGTTTGCTGCTACTTTGTACAGCCTATTATCCCTGATTCTGCTGATTAAGGACAAGCTTTCGTCAATACGGCTATTCTATTTGTCCACGTCAGCATTATCATTGCTATATATATTACAACTGCTATTCTATTTTCTATTTTTTAACATAAATATTTAATGCTTTTTATTTCTTACATTTTCATACATTTTTATTGGTCTTGGAGCATTTAAATGTTCACTTTTTTATATTTGCACTGAAGAAGGAAGTTATTATTGAATATGTCTATAATATGTATATTTCCAGCTATTTCCAAATGCACCCGAAAACATACCTCAGACTCTCCCAACAACTTATGCTGGTTTCCCCTGGCTTTCCTGCTTTTTAACATTTCCTACTGGGTGCTTTATAAACTGAGACCTTTTAATAAGTTCATTTTAATTGAGTTTGGAAAATAGTGCATTATATTTCAGCCTGGTAGAATCCAATAGGCATAGTTATAATATATCAGTAGAATTACCTTCAGTGAGTGTTTGTAAGAAAATGCCCTCTAGTGGCAGCAAAGAGACATAACCATAGTCGAGTTTTGGAAGAACCTAACTTCCAATGCATTTCATGTCCCATGTCTTGGAACAGGGTAATTTATGAGCATATCACAGCATAAGCAGTATAGGCTGGGGGGGGGGGGGTGGAATTTAACTGGGAACTGTTACATTTATTAAATCTGGCCTGCAGATTGATCTACTGAACCCCCCC